GACAAAGGGCAGCAATGGCGGAGGCCAACATGCACCGGGAACAGGTCTGACTTACTGCCGGCAATGCAACCGCAGCTCTGGCTCCGGTTGTACAGGGACCAAACGGCCCTCAGCAGAGGACCCCAGACCCCGTACTCCCGGAGAACCCCCCAAAGGACACCCCGGGGAACACGGTCGAACGCCTTCTCCAAATCCACAAAGCACATGTGGACAGGTTGGGCAAACTCCCATGAACTCTCGAGTATCCAACGGAGAGTATAGAGTTGGTCCAGTGTTCCACGACCGGGACAAAAACCACACTGCTCCTGCTAAATCCAAAATTTGACATCGGTCGGAGTCTCCTCTCCAGTACCTTGGAGTAGACCTTACCGGGGAGGCTGAGGAGTGTGATCCCACGATAATTGGAACACACCCTCTGGTCCCCCTTCTTGTAGAGAGGGACCACCACCCCGGTCTGACACTCCATCGGCACCGCCCCCGATCGCCACGCGATGTTGCAGAGACGTGTCAGCCAAGACAGTCCAACAACATCCAGAAACTTAAGTTAGTCAGGACGGATCTCATCCACTCCCGGCGCCTTGCCAACATGGAGGCTGCCAACCACCTTGGGTGACCTCAGCCAGGGAGATAGAAGTATCCGCCCCAACATCCTCAGCCTCTGCCTGACGGGGGGATTGAGGAGAACCTCAAAGTATTCCTTCCACCGCCCGACAATATCCCTAATCGAGGTCAGCAGCTCTCCACCCGCCCCATACACGGTGTTGGCAAAGAACTGCTTACCCCTCCTGAGGCGCCGGACGGTTTGCCAGAATCTCTTCGAGGCAGACCGATAGTCATGCTCCATGGACTCTGCGAACTCCTCCCAGTCCCGGGTTTCTGCCTCTGCAACAGCCTGGGCCGCAGCACGCTTAGCCTGACGGTACCGGACAGCTGCCAGGGGTCCGGTACAGGGGTCCCACAAACCATCATGGCTTGATAGCCATTCCTTACTGCTGGTGTCCACCACCGGGTTCCGGGGTTGCCGAGTGTCAGAGACACGTGGTCGAAGGTCAGATGATACGGCAGCAAAGACGATCATCAACCTCCGGCCTAGGGTGTCCTGGTGCCACGTGCACTGGTGGACACCCTTGTGCTCTAACATGGTGTTCATGATGGACAAACTGTGACTAGCACAGAAGTCCAACAACTGAACACTGCTCGGGTTCAGATCGGGGGGGCGTTCTTCCCGATCACCCCTCTCCACTGGCATTTCCCACATGGACGTTGAAGTCCCCCAGGAGAATAACGGAGTCTCCGAGAAGGCCGGGTACTCTGCACTGCTGTTAGGCCCGTAGGCTGTCACAACAGTGAGAGACTTGTCCCCCACCTGAAGGCGGAGGGACGCAACCCTCTGATTCACCGGGGAGAACTCCAACACGTGGCGGCTGAGATGGGGGGCAATGAGTATGGCCACCCCCGCTCGCCGCCACTCCCTGCGAGAAACGCCAGAGAAGTGGAGCGTCCATCCCCTCTCAAGGAGTTGGGTTCTAGAGCCCAAGCTGTCTGTGGAGGTGAGGCCGACTATCTCTAGTCGGTATTTCTCAACCTCCCCCACGAGCTCGGGCTCCTTCCCCCCCAGTGAAGTGACTTTCCACGTTGCCTTCGACTGCCGCCCAGTCCTCTCAGCACCACGCCAGCATGGACCCCTCTGCAGGTGGAGGGCTTGCCCATGTCGACCTTTCGGGCTGAGCCCGGCCGGGCCCCGTGGGCTAAGGCCCGGCCACCAGGTGCTCGCGTTCGAGCCCCGACCCCAGGCCTGGCTCTAGGGTGGGGCCCCGGCTGCGCCATGCCGGGCGACGTCACTGATCTTCTCATAGTGCTGTCCATGGTTGCTTCAGACTGTGCTTCCTCTGACTCGTCACCCGAGACCTGTCTGCCATGGGAGACCCTACCATGGGCATGAAGCCCCAGACAACATAGCTCCCAGGGATCATCCGAGTACTCAAACTCCCCACCACGTTCAAGGTGGCAGTCCAGGGGGGAGCCGGGCAGAAGTTGATGTGATAAAAAGTATAGGGTCCGAAAACCTCTGACATGTTGGTCAAATAAACATAACTCTGAAGCATCACAAAAGGTATTTGGACACAGAGCAGAGAGGTTTTACACATTGATATTCCTGAATCACAATCCATTGCAATATTGCACACCTCGTGCAAAGGTCTGGCATGTACTGACTCCAACTCTGGGGTGGGTCAGGACTCATATGGGCCCCTGAGGACTTTAAATGCGCTGATGTACACTGACCTCGGAGCATTGTGATGGAGTGTGTGTGTGTGGGGGGGGTGTTTATGTGCAGAAGCTTTCTGCATATGGTCTATTTTTGTCAGACTCTGCAGCCTGTTGATTGACGGCTGTCGACAAGATGCGAAATGTTTGCAAAGGTTAGACCTTGATTGGGATTTTTGTTGAAAATTCTATGTGCAACTGTAACATCTGGAGGAATTAGATATGTCTTTTAGCTATTATTCTCACATTATTCACATACACAAATTTCAAGCCTACCCTACTCTTTGTAAAGTACAGAAGATCCTCATTTATCTAATGTAAATTGGAATGAGACAATAAATAAACATGAGAAGTCTGAATATTAACTTGATTGGTTAAAGCTAGTTGTTTATGGCAGTGGTTTCATAATTAATCTTCATTCATAAGATACATTGTCAATACTGTACATGGCCACATTGCCAGACACTCATCAGTTGACCTCAAGTCCCCACACGTATTAGAACACAAAGCTTTTTTATGGACTTTGGAGGGGATTTGAAAGTTTATCTCAGCTGGTGTCCACTACCAAGATTAAAAACGCAGGTGGACAGTTGACCACACTGGTAAGTTTCACAGAAGGCAAAAAGGCCATTAATCAAACCATGCATTGGTTCTGGGTTTGCTAGTTTTTTCCACCGCAATTCTCGGTTCCCGGTCAGCATATCGTGGGTGACCCCAGCAGACAACAAAGCAGCAGTGTTTGGTTGTTACCATAATAGCTTGAGGTTGTATTTGCAATGCAACTGAAAGACTAGTAAAATGATTTAACTCTACTTTAACTATTACACACACTTGTACATCTCAAGTACATCACTTTACATCTCAACATTGTTTGTTTTAATTAAAAAATATAAAATTAAAATTGCATTTAATGTCATTGTGATCAACACTTTTCCTCAGTTTACTTCTATAGGACATACATTGGTTTGAATGTTAAGGGTGTTAATCACTTCTGTACACAATTAAACCATAAATAAAATAATTAAACCATGCAATATTTTTCATCTATATAGAGCTACATCTTCTCACCTCCCGTAAGCACAATCCTCATACATGTTGAGGTTTCATATTTCATTATGTGAATCCTTAATGTATGCTGTACATTTACCATGAAGCCTGTTGTACACTTCTTTTGGGCATCACACTGCATGTAGTATGAGGCAGAAATAGACTGGGTCGTCATCAAGTTCAAAGAAAAGCTTGATACACTCATAAAACGCTGATGAAACTTGATCAGTTACACAAGCTGCCAATAAAAATATATCAAGGCAGTATTCAGTTATATTTTGAACATTTTATGAATACAAAAAAGTCAAATCAAATCATTCAAACAGGAGTAAATTACATATACAAAACATATGGGTTGAAATACTGTAAATGTGTATGAAAACTTACTAAGATATAAAAGTTAAATAACACAAATATCAATTAAATTATTTATTTCAAAGAAAACTGTACCGTAACAGAACTAATGTAGTGCAGTTATTATACAGTATAATAACTGCTTCTCATAGATGTAGCCTATTGAAAATCCAAGTTTAGGAAACTGTCAGGACTTTTTTTGGGAAAGGATGCCTTCCATCATTAACTTTGATGCACACATCATTTGATATGAGTCCCATTTTAACTTTAGGCGTGTCAGCAGCGCGGAATAGATATAAAGGGGGAACAGAGGGACAGCAGACACTGTCTGCCACTTGGGACAGCTGGTAAGGCTTCCTGTTTGGATAAGACAATCAGTAATATTTCAAACATTTTGTGGCAAAAATAAAAAAAATTTATTAATACTTACAGAATTAAGGATCCTCAGCACAGTCAAGGGTCAGGTAAGAGCTTTTTGCTAGCTTTAAAAGACACTGTCTGCCACTTGGGACAGCTGGTAAGGCTTCCTGAACTTTTTTGGATAAGGACAATCAGCCAACAAGGAAACTTACATATTCTTCAGTATTGAATGCAATTAGAGTTATTTATTGGGGGCCCCCCAAGGGTAACATTTGAAGCAAGGGCATTGAGCCTCTTGTAAAGGATGTTTAAACCTGGTTAAAAAGTATTAAATATTAAACAAAATGGTTTAAGTGATGTGAGTCGAAATCCTGTATTCTAAATTTATTCATGCAGACAACAACCGCCACCATGAGTACAGACGCTGAGATGCAGATTTACGGCAAGGCTGCCATCTACCTCCGTAAACCAGAGAGGGAGAGGATTGAGGCTCAAAGCGCTCCCTTTGATGCCAAAAGTGCCTGCTACGTGGCTGATGTCAAGGAGTTGTACCTCAAGGCTACAATTGTCAAGAAGGACGGTGGCAAAGTCACAGTCAAGGTCTTGGACACTCAGGAGGTTAGTTATTACCACTTAACGGTTAATAAAAGGACAAAGAATTTGTTCTGCTTACACACCCCATGTTCTGTAAAGGAGAGAACAGTTAAAGAAGATGAAGTCTCCCCATGAATCCTCCCAAATACGACAAAATTGAGGACATGGCCATGATGACCCACCTCAATGAAGCTTCTGTGCTTTATAACCTCAAAGAGCGTTATGCAGCATGGATGATCTACGTAAGAAATTTATTTAACATCATGTGAACACTGTATTAAGGACAGTCAAATTCATGTTTAAGTGACTATGTCTTCAGACCTACTCTGGGCTGTTCTGTGCGACTGTCAACCCCCTACAAGTGGCTGCCAGTGTACGACATGGAAGTTGTCAATGCCTACAGAGGCAAGAAGCGTATGGAGGCTCCACCCCACATCTTCTCCGTCTCTGACAACGCTTATCAGTTCATGCTTACTGGTAAGTATGACTGACATTCAAAAACATAATGAATGATGCAGGTTTGATATACTGTATTTTACATTTTAATAGACAGGGAGAACCAGTCTGTCTTGATCACGTAAGTTAATTATTCTAATAATAATTCCATAGATTTAGTCATGGTTTCACAAGTCTTTTTTTATCCACAGTGGAGAATCTGGTGCTGGAAAGACTGTGAACACCAAGCGTGTCATTCAGTACTTTGCCACAATCTTGTTCTGTAACCGAGCTGATGCAACACTGACATTTCCCCGCTGTCGGACGAATATATAGTATCTCTTCTGTATTTATATTTACTCCAAACTAATTAACCGCCAACAAGACCCACACATGTCCAACATTCACTACTTTCAACTGGCCTCCTATCAGTTTCAGTTAGAATTTTCTTCACACCATCTCATCTGGCCTTCCTCCCGTCCTCTTCCACCGCGCGGCCGTTTCAAACATTCCGATCTTTATTAGTCTAATGGCACAGTAACAACCGCCCGCAGCCGCATCGACATGACGAACCGTTCTGACACACGCCCAGTTTGTCCACAATTCTCCCATTGTCAGTGCAGTGTCATTCACCCGCTCACCCACAGATTAAGAGATGGTAAATAGTTTAGATTCCACAGGGCGTAACGAGGGAACTAGTTCTGTTAGTCATTTTAACAATCAGAAAGGATGTATGCAGTTTATGTAAGTGGATTTGTATGAGGAAAAGGGATTCAATAAAACGATAAGAGATTTGTATAATTCCCGTACAGGAAGTCAATGACAACTTTAATGGTGGCTGAGTAGTTAGCACTCTCGCTTCTCAGTGAGGAGGTCCTGGGTTTGAATCCCGGTTGGACCAGGGCCTTTCTGAGTGGAGTTTGCATCTCTCCCCGTATCTCCGTATGTTTCCTCCGGGTGCTCCGGTTTCCCCTACCATTAAAACATGTCCAACAGGTCTGACATGCCCCTCCTGTCCTGGCCCTGCTCCATCTCTGTGTGGAGTGAGAGACTAATGCCCAAAACAGTTGTAAACCGCTTTGTGACTCTGGTCTGTGAAAGACGGTATATAAATACAGATTACTTACTTACTTACATATATGTTGCAAAATAAAAGAAATATGTCATAATAATTTTTGCCTATTTTTGTTTTGTATTCTTCCTATGAGAGCCATGCATGTCCAGGCCACTGCCATGACCTGGAAGTTTAGTTATGATGCTTAACTCATTCACTTTTTTTTTAATTATTTTTTTGCATTAAGTTACCCATTAATACTCTCAATTGCTAAAAAACTAACAGAAATTTGCTTTTTTTTTACTGAAAGGCAGGAGGCAGAGCTTTCATTTGGAATGTTTCATATTTGTGTCAAACAAGGGCTCACATTTATATGAGGTTTGGAAAAACACTAAAACATATCCATGAACTCTGGCAGAATGAGGGATGCTTCTTTATATATGGCTGGCAGTGAATGAGTTTTAAAAGCCAGGGTAGTCTTTTTCTACATTCCACACCTTCAGATGTTTACAACAAAACTCTACTTAAATAAATGATTGTTCTTTGCGTTGTGCTTGTCGAGTTATTGTTGGTTCTGTTGCCTCGCTGTGTGTTTGTGTGTTTCTTACCTGCCTCAGGGCAATGGATGACAAATAGATATTGTGCTAATTCCAGTATATTTATGTTGTCGCTGTTTGCACACACACTGATTCACATGTACTGGCCTAAATTCAAATAAATACATAAATTAAATTAAATAGATAAGACATTTGCAAAAGAAAATAAATCTTTACAAGCCGGTTTCTGCTGGGACAAACCACATGTGTTATTTATGGCAAATGTCAGGTTCCCCAACTTTAACTTGGACAGACTTATGTAAAATTGTTGGTCTTATCTATCTTGTATCGGGCCTGGTTAGACCTGTATACTGTATGTAGATAGATAGAAAGATAGATTTATTGACATATTTTAAACAGTCTATACATTAATCAGGGATTTTGCAGCTCCATAATATTCAAATGGTTACAATACTGCATGAAGACTTTTTACGCTGCATTTCTACCACTTTTTCCCCCTGCCTCAGACTGAATCGTTAATGGGCAAAGGATTTCAGTGTCTTTGAGGTGATTCAACCTAAAGTATGCGTTATACTTTGAACCGAGAGAAAGAATTTGACCGCACAAGTTATCATGGCTGGAAAGCAGACTTCAAATGCCTCCTCACGCCACTGTGTTGTCAGGGCCTCTGTGGAAGAAGTCTTGTCCAAACAGAGTGGATTTTCTCATGAAACTTTCCACATCAGAAGGAATGAGGAAAAGAACAGGCAGCCTCCTCAGCACCTGTCACTGCTCGAGGAAGAAATATCAGCGACATCTTTGTTTGGCACCAAAGGTCATCTCTACTAATCTCTACTTTAGAATGATTAATGTGTGTACCTGTGTCATGTGTGGTCGTCATGTTGACAGTATTATGGAGCTGCAAAGTCCCTGATTCATTTATCGTATAGACTTTTTAAAATATGTCTATAAATCTATCTTTCTATTCATCTATAAACAATGAAGCAGTTAGCATTTTACTTTGGACTAGCGCAGGGAAAATGGTCTGAACTTAAGCGGCTTTACCTCCGCTGCGGTGTCCCGTCCTGCTAGCTTTTTAGAATGATACAATTTTTTCTTTAGTTGGAATGGATGCATGTGTTTTTGCTGCAACTGGACTCCTGAATTTCTCCTACGGGGATCAATAAAGCATCTATCTATCATTAAAATCGTCATAAACAAACATAAAAACAAACATTTAGATCATGAGAATTAGTTTTAAGTGATTAAAAACGGTAAAACATTAAAATCACACATAGGATTAAAATCATAAATGGCCACAGGGCATTAAAAAGAGTAAAGATAAAATCCTTCAGTATATACAAAGCTTAAAAAAAACTGTTGAACTTGGATTTATAAACGGCCATAATAATAATAATCCCTACATTTTATATAGTGTTTTGTGGACATTCAAAGACGCTTCAGATCTCACTATTCTTTCACTCCACACACGGCGGTGATAAACCACCTGTAGCCACATCTGCCCTGAGACACACAGTAACTCCAAGAACCGATCGTTTCCCAGCTCATTTCCGACGCAAATCAGACACAACTTTTGCAGCGCAGGAAGTTGCAGTCCCAGCTTCTATTTTTACAGTGTTGGACGGCACCAGTCGTTGAGAAACTCTAGCCGCTGTTCCCTTTTATACGATACGCCGTGACAGTGGCCAACATATGATCTTGGAGGCGAGGAGCAGCTTCAAACACCCCCTTGTTATGCATTTCGGCCCCTCAACCCGAACCCCTCTGAGACCATAAAAGCAACAGGTGCTGCTTTTCATGTTGTCCAGCAGCTGCAGGTGTCACCTCTGGTCCGTGTGCATCGTCTCCGCTGGACTGGAACCGAAACCGCATCAATTATGGAGGAATTTGGGTTGCCATAACTGCCCGATGTTTGGTGTAAACGGAAGAAGAAACCAAATAGTGCAGCGCTGGTGCTGCGATGTGATTGGAGACCTCGGGGAACGCCAGGGGCCACAGATGGGGGGGTTGTGGTTGTTAGGCAAGACACTTCACGTAGCCATATGTGTGGTGATTCTCTCAGTCTGTCCCGGGGCAGCTGTGGCTATAATAGTGGTTGGCCATTACTATCCATGTACAGCGCCCCCCTTTGAACCTTTCAACATTTCTCCACATTTCAGGCTTCAAACATAAAGATATAAAAATTTAATTTTTTGTCAAGAATCAACAACAAGTGGGACACAATCATCAAGTGGAACAAAATTTATTGGATAATTTAAACTTTTTTAACAAATAAAAAACTGAAAAGTGGGACGTGCAATATTATTCGGCCCCCTTGCGCTAATACTTTGTAGCGCCACCTTTTGCTGCAATTACAGCTGCAAGTCGCTTGGGGTATGTCTCTATGCAGTTTTGCACATCGAGAGACTGGAATTCTTTCCCATTCTTCTTTGCAAAACAGCTCGAGCTCAGTGAGGTTGGATGGAGAGCGTTTGTGAACGGCAGTCTTCAGCTCTTTCCACAGATTCTCGATTGGATTCAGGTCTGGACTTTGACTTGGCCATTCTAACACCTGGATACGTCTATTTGTGAACCATTCCATTGTAGATTTGGCTTTATGTTTTGGATCATTGTAGTGTTGGAAGATAAATCTCCGTCCCAGTCTCAGGTCTTTTGCAGACTCCAACAGGTTTTCTTCCAGAATGGTCCTGTATTTGGCTCCATCCATCTTCCCATCAATTTTAGCCATCTTCCCCGTCCCTGCTGAAGAAAAGCAGGCCCAAAGCATGATGCTGCCACCACCATGTTTGACAGTGGGGATGGTGTGTTCAGGGTGATGAGCTGTGTTGCTTTTACGCCAAACATATTGTTTTGCATTGTGGACAAAAAGTTCGATTTTGTTTTCATCTGACCAGAGCACCTTCTTCCACATGTTTGGTGTGTCTCCCAGGTGGCTTGTGGCAAACTTTAAACGAGACTTTTTATGGATATCTTTGAGAAATGGCTTTCTTCTTGCCACTCTTCCATAAAGGCCAGATTTGTGCAGTGCACGACTGATTGTTGTCCTATGGACAGACTCTCCCACCTCAGCTGTAGTTATCTGCAGTTCATCCAGAGTGATCATGGGCCTCTTGACTGCATCTCTGATCAGTCTTCTCCTTGTTTGAGATGAAAGTTTGGAGGGACGGCCGGGTCTTGGTAGATTTGCAGTGGTCTGATACTCCTTCCATTTCAATATAATTGCTTGCACAGTGCTCCTTGAGATGTTTAAAGCTTGGGAAATCTTTTTGTATCCAAATCCGGCTTTAAACTTCTCCACAACAGTATCTCGGACCTGCCTGGTGTGTTCCTTTGTCTTCATGGTTCTCTCTGTGCTTTAAACAGAACCCTGAGACTATCAAAGAGCAGGTGCATTTATACGGAGACTTGATTACACACAGATGCATTCTATTTATCATCATCAGTCATTTAGGACAACATTGGATCATTCAAAGATCCTCACTGAACTTCTGGACTGAGTTTGCTGCACTGAAAGTAAAGGGGCCGAATAATATTGCATGCCCCACTTTTCAGTTTTTTATTTGTTAAAAAAGTTTAAATTATCCAATAATATTCGTTCCACTTCACAATTGTGTCCCACTTGTTGTTGATTCATGACAAAACATTTAAATTTTATATCTTTATGTTTGAAGCCTGAAATGTGGTTCAAGGTGGCCGAATACTTTATACCAGGGGTCTCCAACATTTTTCACCCAGAGAGCTACTTTCCCAAGATGAAAAAGTCATAGAGCAGAGGTCTCCAAACTTTTTTCAATTGGAGAGCTCCTTTTATACTAAAGAAGAGGCAGAGAGCTACTCCTTTTTGCAGTTGTAGTAAAAAAATCGATGTAATAATTGACACAAAACATGGAAAACAAACCATAATACTGTATAACCCTATATTCATACATTTAATAGACACATTCTAAATCCTTTGGCGAGGTACCTGAAAGGGGCTGGCGAGCTACTGGTAGTTCACGAGCCGCAGGTTGGAGACCCCTGGCATAGAGCTACACCTTTATGCCATCCTGGGGAAAAAATTGGGTGATATATGCACAGTCCGAATGTATCTTCACATTTTTGTTTCATTTACAATAATTAATAACACAATATATAATGCTCAGTATATTATTTAATTTGCTAATTTATAAATCGTTTGGCGAGCTACCTGGAAGGAGGTGGTGAAATACAGGAGACCACTGATGTATACAAACAACTACATATTTCTTGGTCTACAATATACAGATTATATACCTTTTTTTTTTTATCATTCTAAAGATTTTCTACTTCTTCATTTTGCTAAAGTTGGAGATTTTTTATGTGCTTCCTTGTCATGCTAAAGCTAGAGATCGTATACTTGCTTCTGCATAATGCTAAAGTTAAGAGTTATTATATTATTTTAGTGTTAGAGATGTTGTTCATTTATCTCGTCCCGTGTTCTCCTCATTCCTACTGCTCTTTGACCGGTGATGCAACACTGAAATTTCCCCCACTGCGGGACAAATAAAGGATGTGTTAATCTTAATCTTAATGAATGACACTATGTGAAGTCTTTGAGTGTCAAGAATACTTTATAATTAAATTAAGACAGCTGCCTGGGATGAGACGGCTTACGGACCGGGATAAATGGTTATATACAGCCTGAAGTGATAATACAAAGCCCTCTTCAGGTTACCTTAGACTTAGAGAGAGGGGATTGGGATCTTAAGAGTCCACTTCATCCAACCTCTTCTGGAACCATCCGTCTGTTTGATCTTTGTGCAGGTCTGAAATAAACATCTAACACATTTTTGCGTTCCTTTTTCCCTTACCTTAATCCTATTCGCCGCTTCTAGCAAAAGGTCTCGGCAAGTCGTCTCCACCTCCTTCACTACTCATGAGGGTTGCATTCAAGTTAAGTTCTGGTGATGGATGTTGATGGTTTTTCTGAAAGTTTAGCCAAATCATCTACATTTCTCACTATTGATTGTAATTTCGACGAGCACACGACCTGCTCTTGGTTAATGAATATCTTAGGCTACCGAATGCCAAGAATGTAGTGTAACCTTGTGTTAGTTCATGGACGTATTTTTCGGAGACTGGTGATTTCTGTCAATCTACCCTCTATCCCAGTGGGGATTACAGGAGAACAAAACTATCCAGAGACAAACTTATTTTTGTTGATGAAAGTAGACAATCCAGTCTTTCAGAATCTGGTTTCATATTTTACATAGTCACAACACACGATATTCTGTGGGTCTTGAAAGTCAGTGAATTAATCAAAAACGGCTGGCAGTCAATGAGTTAATGAAAGTCCGGAGTTTTATCGTTGTGACTGGATTATTTTTATAAAACAGTAAACGCCAACTATTTAAATGTAATTAAGATTTCTTTCTCTTTCTAGATTTTAGCAAATCAGCCGTCAAAGAGAAAAGATCGCTATAGACGCAAATGCACCTTTGCAGTTTGAAAATCACAAACCCCAGCTTTAACCTTATGCAACGTAGAATGTAAGTATTTTGAGATTTTTCTGACAAATATAATTCTCTATTTTTGAATACCATCATTCAGCTTTGAACATTTTCATTCATAAAGTCTAATCCAGCAGTATTCGTCGATATGATCAGCTTCATGAAGTCATGTATTTTAAAGGTATATTATATTTTTGATGCGCTACAGACAGATAAAATCCCCCTTTTGAATTCTGTCATTTTGTGCATATATTTAATTTTCCCAAAACAATCATTACTAATGGATTTATTTAAAGGTGTTAGCGCTTCAGCAGTCTATTTTATCATATCTCGCCAACCGTAAGTATCCATTCAAACCACATGTTCACAGTGACATCCAGCCAACTTCAGCTTTGCCAACAGTCATGCTATACCTCTTGAATGAAGGTGCTGACTTTGACTTTCATTTTGTTTGTGATCATTGCACAAAACTCAACTCTGTTAAATGTAACCGAACATGCACATACCACTACAAACAGTTTGGACACCACTGAGCGAGAAAACAGATTTGCCAAAAAGTAATAATTGTACTTTAATGTATTGAACCAAAATGTGACAGAAGCCAACAGTAAAAACATGTGAAAATCAGAGATGGAAACAGACAGTATCGAGAGCGAGAAATTAGTAACATGGATTTGTATGACGTTTTTATTTGTATGAGCCAAAGATAGTGACTTTTTTTTATAAAGTTGTATCCTGATAAAAAATTACTTCCTTACTTTTAGCTAAAGCTGCCACTTTTACAGATATCTTCATGCAACTGCCCTAGAGCGCAGTAAGCAGCACCTCTTCCACCCGGATCACTGATGCTCATAAAAAAACTTTATTAAAACAACAGTACAACATGTTAAAGGTAGAGACAGAGTTAAGATCCGAGGTCACTTTCAGTTCTAACAAAGACTGAAACATGCCGTAACACTATTTAAGGGCAAATTCACACTTCACAAAAACTTTTGAAAAATAAATAAAAAATTGCTCAAATTTGGCAAAAAGCATCTCCATTTACACATTTTTTGACTGCCTTAAAACAAGATTTGCCAATGGGACAAGCTAAATTATCTTGTTTTTAAAAGTCACAACTAACGTCTACCTGGAAGTTCTTCAAATAAGACTAAAGGGCGGCACGGTGGCCTTTCTGAGTGGAGTTTGCATGTTCTCCCCGTGTCTGCGTAGGTTTCCCCTACCACTAAAAATATGCACAATAGGTCTGAATGTAAATGAGAGAGTGAATGGATGGTGTTGGAGCTGATGGTCCAGTGTGTTCTGGACTCGCTTCTGTCATCACCGTGTGTGGAAGGATTGGAACAAAATCTGACTCTGAACATTGTAAAGCGCTTTGGGTCTGTACCTTGGTCTGTAAAATGCGCTATAAAAATAAACATTACTTACTTATTAAATGACTTTGTCCCATTTGCAAATCTTGTTTTAATACAGTCAGAATGTTCTTGGATTAAGATAATAACTTCAAGCAATCTTTACTTCATATTTTATCATTTTTTGCCGTGTATGGGTGAAATGCAACAGTCCTCCTGAGAAAGAGAGTTTTCTGAGGAGACTAGTGGACCAGGGTGCACTTGTTTTGAGGTTTTCCAAAGTCCACTTCATTTGTCCGTAGTGTGAACGCGCCCTTAATCCCATTAGAATGTACAGTAATGCTCCTAAAGGCGGACTCCCACCTTGTGACAGCTCCACACGCATCGATCAGCTCTGTTTTCCCAAGCGGTGAGGTCAACATGAGCTCAGGGCCGTTACATAATCCTCCCGACAAGTTCAATGTTTGTTCTTTCTTTTTTGCACAAAGATCATTTCACGGTTATCCTTTTGAACGAGTGAGTAATACTTTGAGAGATCCAAATACTGTGACATAACATCTTTAGCAGCGCGATCCTGACTCTGTCCCTGTAAAAAGTGGCGTTCACAAACACAAAGCCCTGGGGAATAGTAACATTGTCCCTGTGATTAGCAATACTATATTTCAAACTTGGTATAAAATACATCTGCAGCAGTAGTACGCATAACTTTGCATTTGTTGCTGTGGCCCTTCAGCTGACCTGCTGCTTCGAGCAAAATATGTTGGATAAAAATACACTTCCAGCAATACATTCTTGTCTGAATGAGAAAACATATAAACGCAGAGGCAGAGGTCTCAAACTCACTCACTGAATACAGCACTTGTATACTAACTGTACTACACTGCTGGCTGAGAGAAGATACATACAGTATGATTTCCAGTGTACTAATAAGACTAAGACAACAAGGTGTCAATACATTCAGACTTGTTTTGTTAATAAAATAAATTATTTGTTTTGCTTTAGGTCACATGCCTAATAAGCGCACCCGGGTTTACATGCATTTTGTTGAATATATCAGCTAATTTGGACTATGAGAGTCGTCCAGTTTTCACTTCAATACTCATTTACTTATAATTATAACTTTTTTATATATAAACGTCCACCTTATAAATTGAAAGGGGACTTGCACGACTGTGACTTATCCAGTCGGGTCCATGGAACCCGACCTGGCCTACTTCATAACACTAACATCTCAACACTGGAAGCTCCCACACTGACAAGAAAATACATTATAGACGTCTTTTCTCAATCAACTCTTTGTACAACTTCTAACTCCAACTAAACTAATATTAAAACTAGAATATTATTTACATTTTCAACAACATCTCTACAGGAAGAGGAAAGATACATACATATGCATCGGTGTTCGAAGCTCCGTTAGGTAAAAAGAAATTGGGTTTTTAACCGTGTAACTATATACAAGTATTTTAATGCTTGAATTGATCTTAGTGCTGAATAAAAGTCTATGGTTAAATGTTCACGATAGCACAGTGAGCGTGACAGCCCCTTTGGTCCTCTTCAGAATCCCCACCGCCTCCTCGTGCGTGACTCCGTCTAAACTTTGTCCGTTCACTGCGATAATCTGGTCTCCTCTCTTCAGACGCCCGTCCTCCGCCGCTGCGCCCTGAGAAAACACAAGCTCTCTGTTAGTCACTGGTCGACAGCACACGTTGGCCACAGACTCTAAAGATGGACGATGCTAGCCTGCGAGCGCAATGAAGCCTATACAAGAAGTGCTCATGGTGAAAGTTTAGCTCCATCTTGCTTCTGCTCCATTCACTTAACATTGGAAAGTAAACTCCTCTTACTCGCACATTCACCTGTTTAGGATTATAATCCTAAAGTGCCCTGTATGATTTGACAGCCATGTTATGATCAATCCAGGAATGAGTCAGAAAAAAACTGACCAATCAGGTGGCTTCTGTCCCCCAAATGTGGCTTTAGCTTGTGAGTAGTGCCAAGCAGGATTCTGATTTTCTCTTTGGTTGCTAGGGTGTCGCTACCCACAAATTTGGCTCCAGATTACAGCTCATGCAGTCTGTACGTGCTCGCTCTAACTTGTCATTTTCGTGGTATGGCAAACCAACTCGTACCTTTCCGAACACGGTCTTCACGTAGATAGGCAGATCTCCGTGTGGGCTCCCGTAACCTCCCACTATACTGAACCCAAGTCCATCGGGGCCCCTCTCCAAGTTGATGGATTTGTATTGAGGTGGCCTGAAACGGGAGGACGAAAAAAAAATAATTCAGGATAATAAGGCGAGGCAAGGCATGGCAAGTTTATTTGTAAAGCACAGTTCATACAAATAGCAACTCAAAGTAAAACAAGCATTAAATCAAATAATCCCAGTACATGTGTGTTCAGTTGTAAGTTGGATTTTAGATTTTAACTGCAGAAATAAAATGAATACAGTTTGTGGCAGTTCCAAGATATTCTTCACTTTCTCAATGTGGAAGCTCTTTACACAACTTTCAGAGCCCAATCTAATCAAATGAACAGCGACATTCCTCCTGTTTCTCAGATAATAACACAACTAAACAAACAAACAAACACAAAAAACTACACATTTATAGGATAATAATACTTTTTCTTGTTTATGTGCATTGCTCAGTAGTTAGAATAACTACTGACCACATACAGTGCCTTGCGAAAGTATTCGGCCCCCTTGAACCTTTCAACATGTCGCCACATTTCAGGCTTCAAACATAAAGATATACAATTTTAATTTTCTGTCATGAATCAACAACAAGTGGGACACAACCGTGAAGTGGAACAAAATTTATTGGGTAATTTAAACTTTTTTAACAAATAAAAAACTGAAAATTGGGGCGTGCGATATTATTTACTTTACTTTCAGTGCAGCAAACTCAGTCCAGAAGTTCAGTGAGGATCTTTGAATGATCCAATGTTGTCCTAAATGACTGATGATGATAAATAGAATGCACCTGTGTGTAATCAAGTCTCCGTATAAATGCACCTGCTCTTTGATAGTCTCAGGGTTCTGTTTAAAGCGCAGAGAGAACCATGAAGACAAAGGAACACACCAGGCAGGTCCGAGATACTGTTGTGGAGAAGTTTAAAGTCGGATTTGGATACAAAAAGATTTTCCAAGCTTTAAACATCTCAAGGAGCACTGTGCAAGCAATTATATTGAAATGGAAGGAGTATCAGACCACTGCAAATCTACCAAGACCCGGCCGTCCCTCCAAACTTTCATCTCAAACAAGGAGAAGACTGATCAGAGATGCAGCCAAGAGGCCCATGATCACTCTGGATGAACTGCAGATAACTACAGCTGAGGTGGGAGAGTCTGTCCATAGGACAACAATCAGTCGTGCACTGCACAAATCTGGCCTTTATGGAAGAGTGGCAAGAAGCCATTTCTCAAAGATATCCATAAAAAGTCTCGTTTAAAGTTTGCCACAAGCCACCTGGGAGACACACCAAACATGTGGAAGAAGGTGCTCTGGTCAGATGAAACCAAAATCGAACTTTTTGGCCACAATGCAAAACGATATGTTTGGCGTAAAAGCAACACAGCTCATCACCCTGAACACACCATCCCCACTGTCAAACATGGTGGTGGCAGCATCATGGTTTGGGCCTGCTTTTCTTCAGCAGGGACAGGGAAGATGGCTAAAATTGATGGGAAGATGGATGGAGCCAAATACAGGACCATTCTGGAAGAAAACCTGTTGGAGTCTGCAAAGGACCTGAGACTGGGACGGAGATTTATCTTCCAACACTACAATGATCCAAAACATAAAGCCAAATCTACAATGGAATGGTTCACAAATAGACGTATCCAGGTGTTAGAATGGCCAAGTCAAAGTCCAGACCTGAATCCAATCGAGAATCTGTGGAAAGAGCTGAAGACTGCTGTTCACAAACGCTCTCCATCCAACCTCACTGAGCTCGAGCTGTTTTGCAAGGAAGAATGGGCAAGAATTCCAGTCTCTCGATGTGCAAAACTGATAGAGACATACCCCAAGCGACTTGCAGCTGTAATTGCAGCAAAAGGTGGCGCTACAAAGTATTAGCACAAGGGGGCCGAATAATATTGCACGCCCCACTTTTCAGTTTTTTATTTGTTAAAAACTTTTAAATTATCCAATAAATTTCGTTTCACTTCACGATTGTGTCCCACTTGTTGTTGATTCTTGACAAACATTTTTTTTTTATATCTTTATATTTGAAGCCTGAAATGTGGCGAAATGTTGAAAGGTTCAAGGGGGCCGAATACTTTCGCAAGGCACTGTACATTTATGTGTGTCTTTCTCAATGTCCCTTTTCTCTTTTCTCATCAAAAACAACATTTTGAGGCAACAATGATGACCAAAATAATAAGGTTTAATATGGACAACTACAAAAATCAATCAAATATAATTGCATACTTTATGAATGTATTAACACAGCTATTTTCACATTCTATGTTCACTGTTGCTATGACAAACGTTTCCATGGTAACCGCATTCTGGTGTGTGGCTTTGTGATGTCATCAGCAGAACATGCAGAGATTAGGTGGCCCCAGAGATTGTCTGCGTCCACATAAGGGGGCAAGTATTTGACTTCAGCACACAAAGAGGACACAGAGCTACAAGCAAACTCACCGCACACGACAGAGAAAAATAATCTTTTTAAGAAACAAGATGGGAAAAAACTCTAAAAAGAGAAAAAACCAGAAACCCAGTATAGTAGACAGACCCTATGTGTCAAATCATGAGCAGAACATGGAGGCTCCAGTAACACAGGCCTTACCACCAATTCCTGAGACAGAAGTAATTGACCCTTCAAGTGAGATTCCAACTCCTAAAGGTAAAAACAGGAGGAAAAAGGAAACTGTACGGTTACATCCAAATGGAGCCAGGCAGAAGAGAGACTCTTACCAATGACGTGAAAGCTCAGAAACCTTCAACTTCTGGGACTGAAGTAACAAAACCAAGTGTTCGCTTCTACGCCGATATCCCGGATGAGTCAGAGCAGTTTAATGGTCCTTCAGTGAGACCTAAAAAGACAAGTTCGATAAAGGCACTAGATCGCTTCTTCTCCCGTATGCCAGATGAAGAGCTAGATATCGATTACTATTGTAGGCCTTTGAAAAACTACACTAATGAGAAAGAAACAAATGTTCAGACAGCTACAACATTCCAGGCTCCAACACCAAAGCCTTTGCCAATGAAGACGACTGCCCCTTCCAACACTGACCAGGTCAAGGAGGCACCAGTATTTGACAAAAAACCTCAAGAAGACCCAAGGATTATTGAGCAGACCCGCCCTGCCTACAGGAACAACAGGGAATATGAAAATGTTTCAAGGGTTTCTGAGCCAACCAATCACCCTGCTGATTTCAAGAAAAGTTACAGTCAAGCTGTATCCACTCCCAGACGCCTGGTCACAAAAGAAATATTTGATCCAAAGCCTCTGCAGGAGACAAGTCCTTCCACAAGGTCAATGACTGTATTGAGGGATGATGAGGAGGCAAGTGAGGAATTCTGGAGAAGGCCTCAAATTAGAGAAATGGGAGAAAACTCTGAAAAGAGAAGAACCCAGAAATTATCTCCCGGTATGGTAGAAAGACCATATGTGACAAATCATGAGCTGGCTGCAAAAGCTGTAAAAGCTGCAAATTCTGACTCTGAATCTGCAAAACCAGCTGATTCTGAAACAGAAGAGAGTAAGTATGATGCAGGAAAAGACATTTGGTATAAAAGGCCGACTCAGCAGAACATGGAGGCTCCAGTAACACAGGCCTTATCACCAATTCCTGAGACTGAAGTGGTTGACCCTTCAAGTGAACTTCCAACTCCTAAAAGTAAAAACAGGAGGAAAAAGGAAACTGTACGGTTACAAAGTCTTCTCATCCAAATGGAGCCAGGCAGAAGAGAGACTCTGACCAATGACGAGAAAGCTCAGGAACCTTCAACTTCTGGGCCTGAAGTCACAAAACCAAGTGTTCGCTTCTATGCCGATATCCCGGATGAGTCAGAGCAGTTTAATGGTCCTTCAGTGAGACCTAAAAAGACAAGTTCGATAAAGGCACTAGATCGATTCTTCTCCCGTATGCCAGATGAAGAGCTAGATATCGATTACTATTGTAGGCCTTTGAAAAACTACGCTAATGAGAAAGAAACAAATGTTCAGACAGCTACAACATTCCAGGCTCCAACACCAAAGCCTTTGCCAATGAAGACGACTGCCTCTTCCAACACTGACCAGGTCAAGGAGGCACCAGTCTTTGACAAAAAACCTCAAGAAGACCCAAGGATTATTGAGCAGACCCGCCCTGCCTACAGGAACAACAGGGAATATGAAAATGTTTCAAGGGTTTTTGAGCCAACCAATCACCCTGCTGATTTCAAGAAAAGTTACAGTCAAGCTGTATCCACTCCCAGACGCCTGGTCACAAAAGAAAGATGTGATCCAAAGCCTCTGCAGGAGACAGGTCCTTCCACAAGGTCAACGCCTGAATTGAGGGATGATGAGGAGGCAAGTGAGGAATTCTGGAGAAGGTCTCTGGAATTTTATTCAACAAGTCTAACAAACATAGAGAATTGGAAAGCCTCGGCTGAAACACTGGAGGCGCATTTTGGACCGTCCACTGCCAACAACGAGGCAGTGGAAGTGACTGGTCATTCTATAATGGCTGATGATGAATTTGAGGATTTTGATGAGACCTTTATTAGACCTTTAGAGTTTTACAAAACAGGCATGTCCAGACTGGACATGAGTGCCACCTACCGCTCTTCCAACTGGAAATGTGCTATATAAGGACCGCAATCTCCGGTCTGATACTGTGATGCCATCAGCAGAACATACACATCTTAAACGTAGGTAAACAAAGAGAGATACATAATTGTGACTTTCGCACAGAGCTATAGGCTTTGTGCTAAAGTCAAATAGTTACAAACTCAAACCACACACCGGGAAAAACTATCTTTCAAAGGAGCAAGATGGGAAAAAACTCAAAAAAGAGAAAATATCACACATGATCTCCCAGTATGGTGGACAGACCTTATGTGACAAATCATGAGCTGGCTGTAAAAGCTGCCAAAACTGCAAATTCTCTCTGTTCAGCTGTTGTTTCAGAAACAGTTACAGAAGTATTGGAAATATGATGCAGGAAAGGACATTTGGCACAAAAGGCCAGGTACATCGACTGAGGAGTCGGTATAACTGGCCATTTGTGGAAATAAACAAATGTCTGGACAGCAACAATATCCCAGGCACCAAGCCTCTGCCAATGGAGGAAATTTCCCTTTCAAACACTCAAACGGTCAAGGTGGCTCCCGTCTGACAATAAACTTTAGGAGAACAAGCAGATTCCATTTACACAGGCCTTATCACCAATCCCTGAGACAGTGCGTGAAAGAGACACATCGGAAAAGTCTCTAAAGCCTAGCGTACATCGACAGAGAAACTGGGGACAACTAGTTGCAAGGCGGCTTTTGGCAACTGAGAGGAGATGGTGGGAGATGATCAGTTGCCGAAATCGGTCGATGTGCGCGCTCTTACAACTGGAGATGATCAGTCGGTCTCCAGTTCCAGTCAGTTGCCCGTGTTCTACTTTTCGGCAACTAGTTGTCCTCAGTTGCTCCGATGTGCGCGCTCCATGCGCCGCTCCAACAACGTGTGTGTATTGCGTGTATTGCGCCCGCAACAGTTTGTTGTCAGAAAACACACTGTGGTTGAGGCCAGTTGCTGTCGATGTACGCGCTGTTATTCAAGAGACTGGCCTGCGACTCAGAGTTGCCCGTTTTCGCCAGATTGTCGATGTGTGCGGGGCAGCAACTCAGAGGCGACGGATATAATCAGTTGCCAGTCCGATGTACGCTAGGCTTTACAGCTCACTCTTCAAGTGAGCTTCCAACTCCATAAAGGAGAAAAAAGGAATCTGTACGGATACAAACTCTTCCCCTTAAACATTGAACAGGTCAAGGTGGCTCCAGTCTTTGACAAAAGAGGACTCCAGGGTTATTGGGCTACAGAGTTATGAGTGCAACTTAGCGCTCTCCCAACTGGAATTGTGCTACATAAGGACCACTGCAGACACTGCCGTTTAAACAGCATCAAAAAATTAATAAAAATGTTATAAAAAATGCATGGTTGTATTAGTATGTATGGTGCATAAATAAGTGAATTTGACGGACTGATATAAATGAATTGATATGTTTTACAACTTTTAACATTTCTATTGTTCAAAGTGTCAATTTATTTAGTTTTATTTGGGTCTAAATATTGTTTAAAACACCCACAAATAAAATAAAAGCAGGTAGATGTTTTTCTTTTTTAAATGGGCCATTGCTCGCTCAGTTATCAGAGCAGGTCATGAGGGGATCACTAAGCACAACATACACAGAAATAGGGAGAACACGCAAACTCCAGTTAGAAAAACCCTTTTCTAATCAGAATTCAAAACCAAGACCTTATTTCTGAGAAGCCACTGTGCTATGGCTAATAATATAATAATATGCACGTGAAACGCTCTTATTTTGAGCAAGGAAAACCTATACATATAACAACCATTTACAGAAAAATATGGCATCATTTTGTCTATAGTTTGAAATGCGATTATCATCTGATCCTCCTGCAGGTGCTGAGTCCACAGGAGCCATGATGTTTCAGCGGGAGCTTCAGGCAAAGTGGGGTTAAGTGTCTTGCCCAAGGATACAACTACAGCAGACATCAGAGGGAGTCGTGAAGTCGGTCTTACGGTGGGCTCAAACCCACGACCTTCAGAAACCCACGACCATTTCGGCCGGCCCGAAATGCGATTAATTAATTTTTAAGCTGTAATTAACTCGATTAAAACATTTAATCGTTTGACAGCCCTAGTTTAAGGCCCTGTCTCAATTCTCACCCTTGCCCAAGATTTTGCGCGTGCCCGCGGGGGTTGTAGGGTGTCCCAATACTTAGGGAGAAGAGGTGAGGGCCCTCACACCCCTAAAAACCACCCTTGAGCGCAAGTGTGGTCTGGAGCTCACTTGCGAGCGAGTGTGATCCAATGATACATTACATGATGCATGAGTGCGTGATGAGCAGCAGTTCTAGACCTATTTATAGCAAAACTTCATATGAAATAGAATTAAAAACGTCTCATTTTAGTTTCAGAAAGTCATGTCTGTGTCAGATCTTATCTGTGGTGAAATCAGACACTTTGATAATGTGTGTGACATGGAACACGTCTGCTGCGTCATCTGCATATTGTCCCCTAGATCCAGGGGAGTCCCAATTCTTAGGGAGAATGTTGTGAGTGCACTCACCTCTGGGAAGACACTTTTCTGGTGAGGGCCCTCACACCAAAGGGCAAGGGTGAGAATTGGGACGGGGCCTAAATGTATAATATTGATTTTCAGATATCATTCATTATAAACATAAAATTAAAAGATATTTTCCTGAACAGAAAACAAACCCCTATTTCCTTTGATTATTTCATTGATATTTTGTTTTCACCAGCAATGTACAAAACAGTCTTCTTGTACCCGGTGTCGTCTTGGAATATGGAGCTGGCTGATATGGCTCCAGTGGCCTGCTCTTGTGAAGAAGGTCCGGTCACAGTGTGGTCTCCTCCAGCTACCACCTGAAATCCAATAAACAACATTTACACATCATGAAAAGCATTCTCATATCATCATTGAAGTATTCTATAATTATATATCTTCTGACTTTTAGAATTTTAAATATCTTGAATTTTCCTGCTCAATGTATTAAATGCTTCATGGACTTGCGACTTACAAAGAGAATCGCACCTCATCCTGACATACAGCGATGCGAGCGATAAAGCACAGTCCTGCGCTGACGAGGGCCCTTGTCTCTATTGGACAACTTTTCGTGGCCTCTAAACACTTCTTATTGGTTGAAACCAAGCCCCGGCGATCCAAGATGGCGCCGTATTCAAATGAATGGCTGGTGCTCAGTAGTGCATTGCCACTTTTTATTGTACATAATATCCTGCTTTTAACATGTTTGCAGATTTCTTTCTTTTTGCACAATCTGAGTGTTTCTATCCAGGCCAGATGTGACATGTACATTTCTCCTTTGTGAGATCAATAAAGTATATCTTATATTTTCTTATCTCACCTTTACTCACTTTTAATGCTAAAGTGCTAAAACTACAGCAAAATAAAAGCTAATGCTAAATTCTGACAATAAACAGTTAAAATTAGTTAAAAGATTGAACTCTCACATAAAAAAAAGTAAACTACATAAAGAAACAGTAAAGTCAGAAATGAAAACCATGAAGTACATTTCCAAAACTAAAAGCCGTCAAATTGACAACAATCCATTTTGTTTTAATAAGAAAAAGTTGTATACATTGTTTTTTTTTCTTTATATATAATGCTTGTTATTTACTGATGTATATGTGGACGGCATCTGCGCACCGTGACCAGGGACTGCAGTTGAAAACGTAACTTTAGCCAAACAAGCACTCTTACAGAATTATTCATGTACGTGCATTAAATAATAACTGATACTGAAATGAGATACTCAGAGAACGTGAGATTCTTTGAGCATCAGAAACATGATAAAACTGTGTTATCGACATTGGTATTGAGAATCCAGTCTTTTTTACAAGTTTGTAATTTTTGTACAGTGACAACCCAGTTCAAGTAAATATCTATTCATGAGGGCACGTTGTTTACTTCAAAGGCTGCAGATAAAGAAGTGCGCATCATGTCTATTATCTCCGTGTCTGCTGTTATCTGTGGGATGATGTAATGCAAGGACAGTGACCTCCAGCTGTATCGAGCCCGTGGCGTTCTTCAGCAGAGACACCGCCTGAGCGTGGGTCATTCCTTCAGTCGACGTCCCACAGATACCCAGGATCCGGTCTCCGATCTGGACACACGGGAAAACTTGTTACGTTCAGGTTCAAGTTAACGGTTGAGTTTTTTTGTTTTTTTGGGTGCTTTACCATAACTTTATATAACTTCGGTAATAAAGTCGATTCCAGAAAATATCGAAATACAATCAATACACCAGTGCCGACAGATTGAAGGGGTCGACTCAACAGATCTGACAAATATTTTGGACCTCTGCCCTTTAAAGATTTATGGAACAACAAAATCATTTAAAAATCAAATCAATAATCGATTTAATTACAAATATATACAGACTTTGCACTGAATCTATAACATTACAGTTAGAGAAGGACAGATGCCCATTTAGTCTAATGTGAGCCTAAAAAGGCAATCACTGCTTTATTTGTACATTTTAGTAAATATTGAGCCTTTTTGGATGTATTCTTTCTGTGTTCCTTGAATTTGATTTTTAATGTTAATATATATTTGTGCATGTTTTGCAAAGAAGTGTGAAGCTTCTATTTAGATCTACACTGTCTCTATCTACAGATGCCCCGGCAGCAAAACATTACAGATCATTTTGTGTAAAAATGATTGATTTTAAAGATATCATGACAATATCGTTATCGGGAGTTGGAAAAAAAATATTGAGATATTTATTTTTGTCCATATCGCCCACCCCTCGTCAAAATGTCCCACTTTCTCACACATTTCTCACGTTGACAGCCCATGGTGCAAATTGATGGAGCACAACTATCTCCACTGTACATCGGAAAGTAGAACAAAGCTTGTGATGACATCGTGTTTTATTAGGCTTAATACTCAGTCGTGTTTGGACAAGGGCAGAGGAAATCTTAAAGGCAGCTTTGAGACAATTCCACAAGTGACATCAAGCAAATATCAAAGAGTGAACACGAACCAAAGCTGACGAGTAGCAACACGAGACAACAGACGTGCAGACAAACTCCCGAAATGAGAATATTGTGAAACGGTCAATGTTTTGGGAATCATTTCAGAAAGTGAGAAAAATAAATGACAGTAATACATACAATAAAAACAATAATTAGGAATAAATCAATATTTTCACTTACAGAGTTATATATTTTTCTTTACTGATTGACAATATTCTACTATTTTGACATGTCTGTGATGTTAAACAGGCAAAACTGACTGCTCAAACGATTACACTTTGTGACGACAAGAAAAATACAGTTATCAGTATATTCAGAAGGCAAAACTGACTTTAGTATGTAGAGAGAGGTATCACAGTTAGAGAAAAATCTATTGTTTTATTGTATATATATTGTCATTTTGTTACTGTCTTCAATTACCACACACAATATTGGACTTCTTGAGTATGTCTCTATTTTGTAAAATAAATAAATTGCAGAATTAATCAAGTTTTTGATTAATTCTGACAAACGAATCTTGGATTTCCATCTTAAAAGCTGCAACTTGAAAACCTAAAAATATTAAGCATGGTTTCAATCCCATCAAACATGTGAACAACCAGGACATAAGTAACCTGTCCCATGTGCATTAGAGGGTGTCATCTCTCGTCAATTCAAGCCTTTGTGTCCCATTCTTCTGTATAAGAGTGTTTGTCTGGGTCTAGACCAGAGGAGGATTTATTATTCACGTCAGAAGCGGATATTGTCTTCTCACAATGGGGTCATAGAGAAGCACAAACGTCATTTTAGCTTGAAAGGTCAGTGCCAACATGTGCATCAGGGTCACCATCCAGCCAAGGGAAATGAAGAGGACGATCTGCTCATCAATTATCTTACATACAAACGCAATTGTGTTTTTATTATTAAAGCGTACCTTAAGATTTTGTGTTTGGGCAGCGAGGCCAACCGGGTTCATCATTGCGATAAATATAGGAATGTCTCCAAGAGGGCTGCCCACTCCTCCAGCGATACTGATGCCCAGGGTGTCCGAGGGGCCCTTGGTGAACTCCACAGTCCTGGTGTCCGGCTGCTCCAAGGCTAAAAGGAAAAGAATGATATCATTGATTACAGACAAATTAAAACATCTAATATAATAGTTTTAATTTGTCTGCAATCAAACAGGACGTTAGTGAGACTGCTGTTGTATTGCTCAATTCATTACAAGGTTTTAATTCACCAACAACAGATCAGAGAATCAAACAGTTAAAGTGCAATGTATCCAGTTAAATTAAGCATTTCACTAAAACATAATTAAGCTGGTTAAAAGATTGCACCTAAAATCCCTAACTTGAGAAATGCAAAACGTGATGTTTTTGTGGAAGATCCAAAATGTAATTGATGTAATAATATTTGTATTAGTAATGACCAGTGATGGGAATAACGGCGTTACTAGTAACGGCGTTACTAACGCCGTTACTTTTTTCAGTAACGAGTAATCTAACTAATTACTTTGACAGTAACTATAACGCCGTTATCATTTCCGACATCCCGTTACTGCGCGTTACTCAAGACGCACCATGAACGTGTTGTCATGAGAGAAGGGAGGATGAGAAAACCTCTCAGCAATTATTGGCTGATGTAAATCATATTTCCTTTACAATCCACATGTCTACAGTTGAGAGGATGGCTCATAAATTGTGTTTTTGAAACAAATATGGGTCTTAATCACACTCAACCACGGCTTGTATCACCGTGAGGTCAGCCACAGAGTAGCGCATGTGAGCGCAGAAGTCGGCTGCATACAATTCCATCGATAAGCTCCTTGCTCTTCCTGGTTTATCTGCTAAGGACAGCAACAGGTTTGGCTAACATACATATAACACATTTTTACATAATCTAAAATGCACATAGGGTAATTTTTCAATTAATATAGGAATGATAAGAAAGAGAGGTGAAGTGTAAGACGGTTGATTTTAGAAATTGTATGCAGCCGGCTGCAGCAAAACAGAGGAGTTTACGGAGGACACACGCGTTTTGTTTTACTTTTTAAAACTCATTGGACTCATTTCCAAATGGAGGATTACATATCTACGCTCAAACCATTCACTGGATTTAAACAAGGAACTGGTCTGAACCGAAGTGGACTGTGCAGGTCATTTATAAGGTATAGCTATAAGGTAAGACCCATAACTCATAGTTTTGCGTTTTGTATGAACAAACAATGCGGGCATAAAACATATTTTGCTGTAGCCAAACAAATTGTCCACTTGATTTATATGATGTATATGTTCATCTGATTGGACTGAAGTCAGTGCTTCACCAGCCTCACCGCTCGTCACCGGTGTTTCCACATTCACAGTGGCGGGCTTTACAGCACAGTGAGAGATGAAGAGTGAACAGGACTTCAGCAGCAAAACAGCCTTTTCTAGATGGAAATATTGGCACTGTTAAAGGTAAAAATGCGCACGTCGGGTGCACATTATGTTCCAGAACAAAACGAAAAAGTAACGCAATAGTTACTTTTACTGGTAACTAGTTACTTTTATAGTGGAGTAACTCCGTTAGTAACTCAGTTACTTTTTGGGAGAAGTAACTAGTAACTATAACTAATTACTTTTTCAAAGTAACGTGCCCAACACTGGTAATGACTATATATTCTAATAGTAATAAATGTGGTAAAAGTGCAATTAAAAATATAACCATACTAGTCATACTAGTAAACTGGGGAATTTGAACAGTGATTTTAACTTCCTGAAACTCGATAGGCGATCACTTTGCAGCTCCACATTGTTCATTGTATAAAAATATTTGAATACCAGCCCTACAAGTCGGCAATACTTACATTCCAGGCTCCTACTGGGCTTGTCAGTGTCACTGGGGAAAATGCCTGGCTCTAAAGAGGACTGTGGGCCCGCTCTGGCGCCCGCTTCATTCTGCAACAATGAATGACATGTTGTTAGATGACGGAGATTGGATTGTTGAAAAACAGAAGCATACTCATGGACGATTACCTGACTGGTCTGAGAGAGCCTTCTTTCAGAGTGGAAAGGCCCAGCTTTAAACCTTCCCACTTCCATGTTCAACGTCCCAACGCAGCACTACAACACAGACGCACAATTCTTTTATTTCTACGCGTTTACAAGTGTGTGATACTGGGCCACATTGTTCCTGTCATGTGTAAACCAGGCTGGATTCAATAACTGTGCAAGGAAAACACAGTGGGACAAAAAGTATTTAGTCATCCACCAATTGTGCGAGTCCTCCCACTTAAAAATATGATTATTTTCATCATGGATATACCTCAATTAGACATAATCAGAAATCACGTTTTTTTTTTTTCTGATCTTGTCTCTCATAGTTGAAGTATTAAAAATTACAGGCACCACCACTAAATACTGTACTTTTTTCCCTACTGTATGTACAGGGGATGGGAGTCTATAAGTTTTTCTGTATTAGTCCATTGTGAGCTGAAAAAAATTATATGTATTTGTGAATATATCAACACATGGCAAAACCGTTAAATATTTCTTATTTGTATGTATATTATTAGCATACAGCGAACATATTATGAACGTATGAATGCAACTATTTTTGTCTCAATGAATGAATAAAATAATAATAAATAGACTTGTAAATGCTGCCATACTTTGAGCAGAGCAGCCACCGCTTCCTGGGTGGCACAGCGCACGTCTTCTCCGTTCACGGACAGAATTTGATCTCCCTGCGTCAGGCGGCCATCAGCGTCCACCAAACCTCCTTTCACAATGTCCGACACAAAAACTCCTGTGTCGTTCCTGTAGAATAGAAAAGAATTAGAGGTGGGTTTACGGTTCACACTATAAATATACTGTAAAATATACTGATGTCCACGTGAATCAAAGGTAAACGTGTCAGCCTCAGGGATTCCAGAGTCTCACCACTAATTACCAGTTTGCACTTTCCACTTTTACCGCTGGCTTTTAGTTCCCCTTGTATTTTTAGTTGTTCTACCACGTGTGAAGCAAGCCTTAAACTTGTCTTAAAAACTGCTCAGACCATTTCTTTGGATTTTGGGCCAATCCTTTTTAATGCGTCTTAAATTTAAGCAGGGGAACTGAACTTTCAAACTACAAAAAATGCCTATTTGATAAAAATACATCTGACATTTGCTTACTCTCAAAAAAGTTTGGGTATATCACTGGTTTTCATATTGATTTTTTGGCCTCGGTCACATCTTTAGATCAGCGTGTTCTGATAGAAAAGTGAAAAAGAGAAAGATTTTTTGTTTTTTTTATGTGACAGTATATTGTGTATAATCATGAGCCTAAACTTGAGTTTGAAATCTTAGCAGCATGACAACAGTAGACTCTAAGGCCCTGTCCACACGAAGTCAAGCTCAGGCCTAAACGCAAAAATACTTTATCAATCCAGTGTATCGCCCATACGAGGCCGGCGTTTTGGGGGGGTGTAAATGAACATTTTTGAAAGTAGGTCCCAGAGTGGAAAGATTTCAAAACTCCGTATATGCCGCTCCGTGGTTACTGCCTCTCCGCAATGTATCTGAGACGCTTGCGTCATCGCCCCGCCTCTTGTTAAAGCACGCATGCGCCGCACTCAGAAAATAATGACAACAACAATGTAGCTTGTTGGTTTTGTAATCCAGTGTGACCCGAAGCAACAGTTCAACCTCATCGTCCGTCCATACTAATGTAGTACCAGCTCGCCCACTCGCCATGTTGTCTGTTTACAAAATTCTGCGCATGCCCAGTTCCCGTCACGGAAGTTTGGGCTTGATCCCGTCATTGCGTCACAGCGCCACCAACAGGTCTGGCATAGTTTCACAGCGTTTTCAGGCGTATTGACTACATTCATATGGACGCACACATTTACTGAGCTAACTCCGTGTTTACAGAAAAAGTTTCTGAAATTATAAGCGTTTTGTCTTCATGTGGATATAGCCTAACTCTCCATAGAGTTAAAGTCTATGGAGTATGGAAGTAACCTTACCTACAGTATATGTACTATTTGTCAGGTATCTTTTAAGGCTCACCTCTTCACATATTCCACCTTAAACTTGGGCTGGTTTTGTCAAGGAGAACCTACCTATGACTAGATTAAAAGTAACCTGAACCTGACCATTGGTGCAAATTGAAAGGACTAATAGTGCTAATTGGTGTTTTAATATCAGTTACCTGTGTTCCCGCGATCTGCATTAAAGAAACAAAAGTTTAATAATTAACATATGTTTCCTTAGTGAAAACATATCCATGCACTACATTCATTTCCAAACTACAAACTATGTCGTCCCTTTTGAATGAGGAGGTTCTTTCTGAAAGCATAGACTGTATTGAGAGGGACAATGCGAAGCCAAGAGCTCAACGAATTGTTCAATTGATGAAAAAACAATACATTTTAATATTCTGAACATTTTTGTTGTCGTATGTGAGATTTTAGACATTTTCTAAGTAAAACATAACAATTTGAGCTATAGAGACTTCAAGATGGCCACTTTATGTCCATTCTTGTTTTGAAAAGCAATTTGAGCTTCCCTGTTATGAATTGTATTTTTCTTGCAAGGCAGGCATAAAGCAGTTTCAACATTTCATAATTTTTCTGAAGCAATAGTCCATCCAAATAAGTTATTGCGACAGGCTAAGATAAAACCTTCTTATTCTAATGGGAGGATTTGTCTATTATGTATCTATGCACACATGGGATCAGAATGTGCCTGACCTTCTGCCCACGATGCTCAGACCCAGGCCTTGGCCCGATTTCTTCTGCAGCTCCACAGGGAAGGAGTCCCACAGATCCTCCTCTTTGAACTGGGCTTCATCTCTGTAGACCGAGAGCCGGACTTTCTGTGGAGTCTGCCGCAGGACGTTTATGGCTTCGTCGTGTGTGGCGGCACGCAAGTCTATTCCGTTCACCTGAGAGAGAGAGAGAGGAAAAAAAAAACTTGTTCCTTGTTCCTTGAAGTAAGAGAAATACTAAAACATATTTGATTATGCAATTTAGGCTTCAAAGAGCAGTTTTATTAAAGCTTGAGTATGCAACGTGTTTTTGTTTCATAAAAGCATTATGTATGTTTGTAAAGAGAATTTTTTAAATAACAGTATACCTCTACCATACTCAAATCAGCAGCTAAAATCTGGAACAGTCTCCCTGAAAATGTGAGAGAGGCGTCTACTCTGACAATGTTCAAATCCAGGTTAAAGACTGTTCTGTTTGCCTGTGCGTACAATTGAAGGATTTTATCTCCATTTTTAATGCACTCTGGTTATTTATTTATTTATTTATTTTTTAATTCCTTGTGTAATTTGAAAGTTTTAATAGTTGTATTTTTTTTTGTGATTTTAATGTTTTAATTGTGTTTCTGGTGTTTGTTTTATGTGATGATTTGTGCCTTGTGTGGTGTGGACTGTGAAGAGCTTTGTGTTGCCCTGTGAATGAAAGGCCCTCTGCAAATAAACGTTGATTGATTGATTGATACTACAAACTGATTGGCTGAGTGAGGGTGGTCCTGTCTTTTGCACTTTTCTGTGTGAAAAGGCTGATCTAAAGATACATGTATGTACCAGGAACCAAGAACCAGGAAACTGCAATGCATGTACCAGGAACAAGGAAACCATGAAGTCCTAATGAGATTTCTTTTTCAGGGAGTCCTGACCCGGGACGGACAGGAGTGGGGTTAGGGTGAGGATTAGACTATGTGGTTTCAAAGTTAGATACTCCATTTTTAACAGTAACAAAAACAAATAAACAAAATGGTGCAAAAACGTTATTCTTTTTCTCTTGGTTTTTCCACTGTAATATTATACACTGAACCTGTGGGTAAATTAGGTTGTATTGGCTTGTATTATCCAAGTTTGTAAAAATATACATTTTTCTGTAACTGCTGTATATTCCTTTGCAGTATTTTCGAACCGCAGCCTGTATCCATGACACTGTAAAAAAAAACTTTTAACTAAAAAAAAAGTTAGCACAAAAAGCCCATCTGAAAATGCTTCCATATGTTCTTTTTAGTTTCAAGTGCAATAAATATAAAAGCGCCTGCATTTTAACTGAAGGCATGTTTAAAAGATGACAGACTAAATAAATGAATACAGATTATCTACCAGCAGTAATTTAGCTAAAACGGGTTGAAAACATCCACTGTATCTACATTTTAAAATCCCTCAACTCCAAGCAATGACATCATTCATTTTTTCGCACACTTAACTGGAACATTCTCTTCCCACAGAACACTTAAATACGCAATTAGCTTATTTTTTCTGCCTACTTCAGGCAAAAGGAAATCGGCTATTAGTTTCTGCTATGCACATTTAAAGTGTTTTTCTCCCCATAGTCTCCATTAATGCAACGGGAAAGTCCTTTTAACTATTTTCCGCTAACTTTTCTTTATCGCAGCAATTTGGCTTTGGCGAATGAATAGTAGAGGGCGGTAAAGTCAAGTGTGTGTTTGTGTGTGCATGCTGTGTGTGTGTGTCTGCACATGTTTGTGTCTGTGTGTATGTGTGAGTGTGTAAGTGTGTGTGCATGTCTGTGCGTTTGTGTGTGCGAGTATGTGTGTGTGCTGTGTGTGCGTGGCTGTCTCTGTCTCTGTGTGTGAGTGCGTGTGTGTGCATGTCTGTTGTGTGCGCGCGTCTGTCTGTGTGTGTGTGTGTGTGTGTGTGAGTGTGTATGCGTGTCTGTCTGTGTGTGAGTGCGTGTGTGTGCCTGTCTGTCTGTGTGCGTGTCTGTGTGTGAGTGCGTGTGTGTGCATGTCTGTCTGTGTGCGTGTCTGTGTGTGAGTGCGTGTGTATGCATGTCTGTCTGTGTGTGTGTGAGTGCACGTGTGTCTGTCTGTGTGTGTGCATGTGCTGTGCTCGTGTGTGTGTGTGTGAGTGCGTGTGTGTCTGTCTGTGTGTGTGTGAGCATGTGCTGTCTGTGTGTGTGTCTGGGTGTGTGAGTGCGTGTGTGCATGTATGTCTATGTGTGCGTGTCTGTGTGTGTGCATGTGCTGTACTCGTGTGTGCGTGTGCATGCTTTTCAGTTCACATACACAATACTCATCTGCACCCATAGCCTCACAGCGCGGAGAGTCCAGGTCAAAGCAGGGTCAGAAAACACATTCATAACCACACTCTTCACAACAATAACTCCTTTCAATTTTAAAAGTTGAAAAAGAAACACCCCATAATTACTAAATTCTTTGATTTGTCTGAACATAGAAAGCCAAGTCCTCAGGCACTTCATTAAACAGTATCTAGGTCATATAAAAGCTTATTATACCACACACAGTTTGTACCTCCAGAATCTGGTCTCCTGCCCACAGCCGACCGTCCTTGGATGCAGCCCCTTCTTCATAAACCTCGTGGATAATGATGGCCCCCTGCAGAGACGCACAACAACACAGGCAATAAAGTCAACACAGCAGAGATAGAGGAGCGAGGATGAATGGGTAATAAAAGACAGGGTTATCCGTGCGGCAACATTAGCTTTATAGATACTGTAGATAGATAGATACTTTATTGATCCCCGTCTGAGAAATTCAGGTGTCCAGTAGCAGCAAAAATAAAAATAATTTTGATTATTCAAAAAAGCTAACAATAGTAATAATCATCAACAGCCCTTCAGGTCACAGCAGCAGAGGTGGAGTAGCCTCTGGGTGGAGCAGGATGGGTCAAAAGGTGGAGTAGCCTCTGGGTGGAGCAGGACAGGTCAAAAGGTGGAGTAGCCTCTTGGTTCGGACCATTTTCTCTGCTCTAGTCCAAAGAAAAATGCTAAATGCTTCATTAGCATTTTTCAAAAAGTTAGCATTCCTCCAGTGGATTTTCACCTGATTCACTTGGTTTGGACCATGAACCCTCTCTGCTCTGGTCTGGACCAGTGTAAAACCGTGAACACTGTACTGCAGCAACATCTCAGGTAGAAAAAAGCAAGAAAACAACAACTGTTTGAGAGCTGCTGCCGTTTTCCAGCGCATTCAAAAGTTATATGTGAGCCGTGCAGTTGTGTTGCTGTCATTAATTCAATGTGTTGCATTTACACACACCACAAGAAACTGCTTCAGAATAATGTGACTTTTGGACTGTTGGCATGATGATTGAGAGAAAGAGATACTTTATTTGCCCCGCAGTGGGAAATAAAAGTGTCAGTGTTGCATCACAAGTCACAGAGCAGTAGGAATGGGACACAACAGAAAATACTGTAAGTGAATATTAAGTAATGCAGAACCATACAACATATACAATAGAATAAAATCTCTATATTTGGCTTACTAAAGAAACAAAGAATACTCTAGTTTAGTGCAATACAGAATAAACCTGCATGTATACATCTGTAGATAAATCTGTAATTGACAATTTAAGACTTAATATCACAACGCTTTCAAATTGGTGCAGAAACCTGTTTTAAGAAAGCAATTCATAGGATTAGGTTTTTATGAGAAACCATTGGAATCTTCTGAAAATACACATGAGCAATTTGTTCAAGTATTTCAGGAAACACACACTTTGAAATGATGCTCGGGCCATTATCCTGAAGGGGTATGAAAACAAGACCTGCCCTCTACCATAACCACTCGATCAATAGTGCTTTAACACTTCTCTTTACTTCAACACTTTTCTATACTTAGGCTGTGAATGCAAGGAGCGCCAGTCGTTCTGTCTGCTGGGGAATCTCTGCCTTGTTTACGGAGAATGCCTGGCTACAAGAGTCCCTCTGATGGTGATTGAAGGTTTGCACATCCTGCAGAGAGGGTATTATTCTAAACATCTCGTATTAAGCATTATCTTACAACATAGAGCTACAGTCTGTGTTTGAATATATATAAACTCATATCTTTCATGGAATCAGTCTGAGGTTTGTTTTGCCAACAATACTTTGTTTGGTGTTTTTTTTCCACAAAGATGGTTATGAAATGTTATGCAATTATGTCAAAAAAGTCCAGGCAAAACAAAAACTTCTGCAGAGGAATGTAATGTTTTGACCTTCTGTCTTAAAACTACAATCTATAAACTATATCGTTTTATCCAGACTGTTATGTGCAAACCTAATTTCTAATTCCTGGGACCAAAAACTGTCACAAGTTACATATGTTAAAAGTTCCACATATTCTTATATTGTTTATTTGGTTGGGACAGTGCATGTTAATGAACAAACCTCTCCGGATTGCGTCCAGGGCTATATTGCATTCAATGTCTCACAAACACACTCATTCATCCTGAACTATTGCAAATGTTTTTAGTAGTAGGGGAAACGGGAGCACCCGGAGGAAGTCACAAAGTACTTCACAATTGTGGGCATGTGTCACTCACTCCACACAGAGACGGGAGAAATCACAGTCAGAAAAGTATCTGGGAAAGCAGTTAGACATTTTCTTTTTTTAATTGCTTCTTTCCTGTAGAGTTGTGATGGCACCTAACCTCCAATTGAAAAAGAATTCTAGAACGTGAATGCAGCCTTTTGTTGTTATATTATACACTACAATATAATACTATGTGAAAACAATTACATGTATTTGTTTGTATTGTATTGTGGGGCGACAGTAGCTCAGTTGGTAGAGCATTGGCCTTAAGGCCAGAAGGTTGTGGGTTCAATTCCCACCTCTGCACCTTCTCCACCGACTCCCACTGATGACTGCTGTCGTTGTGTCCTTGGGCAAGACACTTAACCCCACTTTGCCCAAAGCCCCCACTGAGAGATCAAGGCTATGCTCACACTCAGAGCAGCCGTCCTCCTGTGGACTCACCACCTGCAGAGGGTCAGTGAGGTGCTGGTGCTATGAGACTTGGGTGGCATCTCTGACTGCCACCCCCCTGACCCAGAAATGGATTAAAGGGTAGAAAATGGATGGATGGATGGATGGATGTTTGTATTGTTTTATAAAGCAGCTTGAGTGGCCATGTGTACAAATTATGCTATTATGCTATTATGCGAGTTAAATTAATTTAGTGCCTTATTGTGGATCATTGTAGGAGGCAGATGTTGATTACTACTTTTCACACTTGTCGTTCCCTTCAACTTGTGATGCTGTCTGAAAGCATAATCCCACACCAGGAAGTATCTCTGGCTGTTTGCTTTAGCGCGTACGTATGCGTCTCACAGCGGCCCGTGCACTGCTGGGATCAGAGGTGACATTCCGGAGGTAGATATAGTCTGCGGCGGTGAGACGAGACAATGGCGCGCTCGCCCAGGCCTGACTGAGCAGACAGAATAGATGGGCCCAGAGGAGGAGCGTGCCTGTGACAACATCATTTCCTACATTCCTGAGTTTCCACGGCTATTTCAAACCTGCCTCTCACCGCCGCGGAGTCCAAGTGGGTGGCATTGAAAGTAGAAGGTGCAGACTGAAATGAATGGGCTTTCTAACGACTAGTTAGTGCGTGCTCGAGTTAGGTCGCAGTGGACCATGATGTCTGCAGAGTCCATTAATATGCATCAAGATATATCAGCTATTTGGAAATGTAGTTACAATACATTATGTATTGATTGTGAAAGAAATAATGAGTTGCTCAAGAAAATCATAACAAACATCATTTCAAACGTATTAGTAAGTATATCAAGGCTAGTATAGGGCTGTACCAAACAATTATTCTGATAATTGATGAGTTGTTTGGGTAGGATGGGGTATTTTACTGTATCAACCGGATGACAGTCTGATAGATATGAGTTGTTCCATTAGAAACATATTGGAAAGGCTTACATCTTACGCCAAATCTTTCCAATGTGCTGCAACTAACAGAACATTCTAACACGTAAACAAGATTGTAATTAGAATAATACAACTTTTTCTAAACAGAGATATTTGTTTTTTCAAACAAACTTCATATCAGTATTCATTTGGATGGAACAGTGTGTTTTCAAGAGCAGCAGGAGCTGTAAATACCAGATTGTAGCTATGAAGCTCATTTCCATCAGTAGACCCGGTTTCCTTATTTATAAAGAAAACTCCAGATTATTTTTAAATTCCATATATTGGTTTCCATACAACCTTACAAATTACATCATGCTAAACACTATAAACAGATCATGAGTGTATAAACAAATACATTTGTTTTTTATCCCATCCTTGAATATTAGATTATCTGCTTGATTATCACTGATTGTAGCAACATAAGCAGGAGCAATGACAATTCCCGGGAGCCATAGCCTGTGTTCACACCGGTTGGTTTGGTTAGCTCTAACTAGTCTAATTCTGGTTCACTTGGGTCACAAATGCTTTATTTGTGGATGTAAACCAACCACACCATTTAACATGTGTCCACTCGTCACATCTTTACCCCAAGTGAACCAGACTTGGTCCACCTGGGTGGACGCATCCATAGTTTGGACATGCCTGGTCTTGAAGATTCAATAGTGGCAATGTAACTACTGTGTGGAAATAAGCAGTAATCGCCTCCAGGGAACTTAAAAAAAAAAAATGTTCTACACGCATTGTGAAACTTTCAATTCTCACCAGCAACGTGTCACAGCCGCCCACGATGCTCAGGCCCAGCCCAGTGCGCCCTTTGGAGATGTCGATGGTGGTCTCACAGCCCGGGATGATGGGACAAGTCGTGGGATCACAGGCCAACGTGGAAGGTGTGGACGAACGGCTCATAGCTGGAGAAAGACAAAACACAAGTCAAATATGTGTAAAAGCTGCTGTTTGTCACATACACATTACAAGCAGTAAAATTCTTATGTACCTCCAGCAGATCTTCAGTACAGTATTCGTCATGCACAAAACCAGAATAACACAGAGACAGAACCAGAGACAGGTTTTAAATAGTGTTTGTGTGCGACTCACTTAAAGTTTCCGCTTCCTGTTGGCTGTAGGAGCAGGTGATACTGGGGAAACTGGGAAGGCCTTCTGAGTCATTGATCTCCAGGCTGATTTTCTATTCACAAAACAGCAATGTTTATTTGTCTTATGATAATAGGGCTAGATCATGACTAGTCTCTGGAACTGGAACTCTCTCCCCCCTGACCTCCGTACCATTGACTGTCTTCCATTCTTCAAATCCAGACTCAAAACCCATCTGTTCAGACCGTCCTACCCCACCTAACACACACGCACCCACCATTCCATATCACACTAATGTTTTATTCTGTTGATCCTGTTTTTATTATGTCCTGTACCGTGTCCTTGGGTGTTTTGAAAGGCGCTTTGAAATAAAATGTATTATTATTATTAATAGTCATTTTCTCGCTGGATATAACCATCTCTCACTCACAACACAAATATTTTTGCAGAGAAAAACAGGCTAAAGTCCTTATGAGTAAATTGAATGGTGGGAGGTAATGGGTCAATATAATACAAATAGTTGCTAAGTACTCGCAAGATGATCCTAGCCGAGTAAAAGTTACAATTCATTGTTTTTTTCTGCTTTTATTCCCGTAACACTGTTTGACCTGACAGTACCTCCTCGCTGTGCCGCTTCACCTCGTCTTCACTTTCACAGCTGGGCTCTTCAAACACACAGGCAGGTTCACTGTCCTCCTGTTATAGAAAAGCAAACATTTTCTCTTCATTTCCCATTTCTGTTCAAAGACAACAATGGGGACTTGTGAGTCTGAATTAAGAGGCTGCACAGATGTTACTTTATTTAAAAAGTCTGTCCCTGGTGCTCTTTCTACCATATGGACAATCCCAAAAGGGGTTTTCCAGTAATAACAGCTTTCCACGCTTTTCAGTCATTCATATTTGTGGCTCAAATAATGTATGCAAATGGATGGTTATCATGAATCGCACGTACGCCTTTTCTATAAATGTCTGAATACAGTTTGTGGAAATATGGAAGTAGACTAGTAGACCATACAGGATCTGTCCAAAAGCCACGATACTTAACGGCTAAACTAAGAATTGAGATGATTTGACCTTGAAATAAATTCATCGACCATCTGCGTCATTATCGGTTTGAGAAGCACTTGAGTAAGCTGACACTAAGCTTTCCCTTTACTTTCTGTCTCATTTCCAAGTCCTCTTTCTCCATCTTGTCAAATTGTCTTTCTCGAGTGTTCCTTTCAGTCATCTGTCCACATTATTGTCATTTTGCTTTTGAGTGGCTTCAACCTCTAGTGAAGTACTGACAGCACGCATATGGCAATGTGACTCACCTTTAAGCTGGTGATGTCACCGTTTGAGGCTGTCATTTCCACCTGTAATGAAACAGTAGGAGGTGAATGACAGACTATTGTGCATGTCTACACCACTGTTTGTGGCTTAAGACTGTTAGAGGAGCTGCAGCCGCCCGCAGGCTACACAAACTGTTATTAGGAACACAAGTTATAGCAACATCGTGCCATGCCATTTTATAACAACTGATAATTAGCTAGATATTTCCCTGACCTGCCCATGACAGTTTGGTTAGGTCAAATAAATAGCTCAATGGCCATGAAGGAGTTTACTGGCAAAATACAGACTTTTCATATTCATATTGTCTTTTCTGTATTTGACCCATCCTGTAATGCACTAGGGCCTCTGTCAGATACAGTGGTCGCCATAGCACAGCGCCCTCGAACTCATCACCACATGTTGTTGGAATATTGTCCCTATTGTACGTGTTTGTAGTGCAGGGGTTAAAGCAAAAAAAAAAGATTTGACTGAAAATTTTTGCATGGAAATTTATCACATGTAAATCACAGTAATATGCAAGACCAAGTTATATTTTTAATTACAATATATTATTGTATAATAGATTGTATATTGAATACAGCTCAAATGAATTCTTCAAAGATATACAGTGTATTTTGATATGAAATATAAGTGGATCAAGCAACGAGTCAACTTTTTGACAGAATATTAGTGAGAGTAGCTTTACTTGAGGCGATATGGAGCGTCAACGCTTTGGCTCTGTCCTCGTCAAAATATCGCAAAAGGACGATACAATTCTGTCCACATTTGTTTGTGGACACGTCAATAGTTAAGAAAAAGGTTTCCCTATCAAGTTTGAGTGCACAGTGCACTTCGATCAACTGCAAATGATTTAAATAAATGTACCAGCGGTAGTGATATTCTGAACGTTATTTTCTGCGATAAAGCCACAGACACGGTCCGCCATAGCAAGCCTAGTGTCAGTTGTTGCTGATGCACCAGGTAAAGATGAAGTGTGGGAAAGTGCACAAACAGCTGCCTTGTGCGCAGTTTTGAGCTGGTGGCGAATCAAAACTTTTTTCTCATTACTCCCATGTATGCAATTTTCTATGGCAAAGTACGCACAAGCACCGGCCACTTTCATCTTTTCGCACCATGACTCATTGATTGGCTCTTTTACATCACGCTGAGTTTTGCAAGAAGATCGCAAACAAGACAATATCAAAAGCTCACCAAGACATGTTTGTCCCCATTCCCAGTCGCAGCAAAGTCCGTTTTGTACATTCCGTTAAGTAAATAGCATTGCGTTTGGTAAACGTTAATTACCTTTAGTCTATTACGCGCCCAGCTTACCAGTCCGGATCTGCTGCTGTTATTGCTCCGTTCGAGATTCAATTTTCCTCCTCTTCTCCTTTTCAAAAGCTCCGTGCAGTTTCCAGAAACTTTCACCTCCGTGTTACCAATGCTAACTTCATCGCGTCTTCATTTGCGCGTGAGGTCAGCTACGTCCCACTGCCTTGATTCATTTGCGGAGCGCTCATGTGGCCACGGCACGTTCAAGGCCCACTCGTGATTATATTACTTATTATTTCTATATACATATAAATACAATTATATTCAAATTATTATTATACATCGATATATATATATATATAACAGATTCACACGTATATGTATTACTATATATTATTTTATAATCAATCATTTCATTGTGTGTATTATCATTATATATATATATATTTTTTTTTTTTCCAGACCAATTTCATTTGACGGAAATCCGTCACCTAGACGGAACTCTTTAATCCCCGTTGTAGTGTCGGGGAAATCAGTGACATCTGGAGGATACTCAGAAAGAACCTGTTTTTACAATTGCGCAATTATTCGCAATTGTATAAAAATTTCAATTTTTGTTGTCTACATTATACAATTTTAAAGACAGAAAAGTGCTTTACAAACTAAAAAGGCAAAAAAAACAAAAAATGGCAAAATATCTCAATGTCAGTGGAACTTTTGCAGTGAATCTTATATTTTCACTACGTGCTATAGGTTAGTTTACTTTGAATGTACAATAACCTTGAATTAGACTTGAAATGCATCGCAATTGCAATGTTGGTCAACTCACGACCACTGCTCAAAAATCTTGTTTTGTTGTGCATTTGTTGCTGTGGTTAACATAGAGACGATGCACAGTCCGCATGACTGATGTGCTGACTGTGTGAAGCGTACAGCAGCACCATACCTCATCCTGGGGCTCCACGGAGTCTTCTTCACCCTCTCTCATCGGCCCCACAGCCATCTGGTCGAGCGCCTCTGTGTTTCTGTGCACAACAACCATAACTCTACTTAATTGTTGCTCTGTTGTCACCCAAAGAGATTTACGTTCAATGATCACAGTGCTGTCTATGCTAAGGATTTGAGTTAACTATAAGGTCAACAACTACGATTATCTTGAAGACAGCTTGGAGACAAAGCAAAACATATTGTGCAGTTTTACTTTTGATTACGCTTTAAAATGAAGTAAAAAGAACCGTCAGCAGTGGCTTGATCCACAAAACCATATTGTGGATAACTCAAGCATAGTTCTACAATGCATTACATTTACAGCACGTTGCAAAGACAACATAGAACTAAGATATATTTTTTACGCAACAATGGCTCCCCCTGGTGGATGCTGGCATACAATACACTTCTCTCAAAAGTACACCACTGTGATAAATTAATTTTTGTCAGCATTGTACAAATCATATTGTAGATAATGATTGTGACTGAGTTGTTCTCACACATACTTGTCATGTCTCACCTGATAAAAATTATCTTGACTTTTGAAGGAGAGCTTTTGATAATGGATGAAGCATTCTGGTGACTGTGGCCATACAGGACTTGACCATTTATCTAAAAATAAATGACAAACAATTAAAACAATAACAAAGAGCGATATCACTGTGAGAAAGGACAAAAAGATGCACACAAATGCTGTGTCATTATATTAGGAAATATTATTGGAAAGGGAAAATAAAATCATCAAACATATACCATAAGTGAATAGTATAAAACTGCATCACTAAAACCATGTGTTCTGAGACTTAAGCAGCACATGTTAATATAAAGAGATATATTGTGCAAAATCAATTTTAGCAGATTGTAACCATGAAAAAAGAAGAAATAATATTTAGATCTTGTCATAGATTTAAATACAGATATATACAGTAGATATTGAAGCATTTACAGCTAGGTAAGAAACAAAACAGCTACTATATTGTATATTCTGTGTGCTCCCTGCGTGCTCTTACTACTGTCCTGTATGTTTACTGCAACATTGAATTTTCTCCACTGTGGGAAAAGTAAAGGTTGACTTATCTTATCCATAACATATCTTACAATACATAGTGTACCAACTAGGAGCGTTTAGACAGAAAGGGTGGAGGGATGTTTCTTAATACTAAAAAACTCCAGGTCCAGTGTTGTCACATGGTTTACCTCTAACAGCTCATCCCCCACCATCAGTCTCCCATCTCGGCCCGCTGCGCTGCTGGCCTCTATCCCCACCACGAACACACTCATGCGGGCGCGGTCCCTGTTGCCCGCCAGGCTTAGGCCCAGCCCAGTCCTGCCTTTCTCCAGCTCAATCATGTGGAGGACCCCGGGGAGGCTGCCGTAGCGCTGGATTACGTTCTCTAAAGGAGAAAAGGGAAGCTGTGATCAACAGATGGAATGACAATACTGCTAAAGAGTCTGCCTCAAAGTCAAATGATTCCTGTCTGCCTTTCTTTCCCGTTTGCTGATGTATGTTAAGAGTCAGACGCACTGTTGATCATTCACAATACCAGGCTGCAAAGAAATGATTGCCAGATAAAATATGCCATTCCACTGACTTTAAATGAAGCTAGTTTTTTGTCATAAATATTCCATCTGTTTGTCCGCAGAAAGAGCAGAAATGTGAGATGATTGTCTTGCTTTGTTGTTAAATTACAGTCAGAGAAAAAGAAGCACATTTTCCAAGTCTATAGATAAGTTAATCCGTCGTAATTTTCTCACAAAACACCACTGATTTTGCCTGTTTTTGAACAGTTCATGCTAAAAACAAAGACAAGGACAAAGAATTGCAGTAAATATAAAAGATATAATTAAACAGTTTTGGATTACAAATGTTTTTTGTACAAATTGTTAGATCCAGTGGAAAGAGTTTAGTCTTATAAAAGTAAAATGTTGTGAACAAAAAACATGTGGCAGAGGCTACATGCGAGTGGAAACTTATGATACCAACCTGTTTCGTGAGCGAGGAACTATTATGAATTTAATTACATATAAAATTATATGTAACGTAGAGGCTGTAATAAAGTGGAATTGATTTAAATATTTGTGGTAAATTGTAAGTTAGGTACTCAGGCTTTAAATATCATTAACATCTTGTTAATTCTATACTATGAAAACTTGTTACAATATTCATTTGAACAAGGGTGTTATTTAGTGTTAAAATGACGGCTTATGGTCCAAAACAGAGCATTACTTAAACTGATACAAAGTTAAAAAACATTTCAAAAGTGCACAGAGCTCTTATCTTCCCCGTCCTCTGATCACATCTCTTTTCTTTGAGTTATGGGACGAAAAGTGAAAGTTTGAAACGTCGCACTGCTAAGTTTCTTTTAACGCTAACCTTTTGTCTCCCTGGTTCGATCTTGTCTCTATTCTTATCCACACCATTCGCGCACAATCCCACTTTTTCTGTCTTTCTCTCTGCTCTTCGGCTGTCTCTGGTGTGTTAGATAGCTCCGGCTCAGACCAATGAGCTCCTGTTGTTCTGGGCTTCCTGCCACTGTTGAACCATCAGTCCTGTACTAATCTCCACAACTCACCTCCTCTGCCCCAAACTCATCCATCTTATTCCCAACACACACTCCCGACTGCACTGACGAAACCCGGCGAGTGCGCTGGCTGGAAGTCTGTCCTTTATGCTGCCTGCCTCAGTTGAATGTGAGTGAACGTGACCCGCTCTCCTTGAAGCCGCGAGCGCATTGGACAGTCTGCTTAACTTTGCCTGCAAGCGCCTCATAGATTAATTGGGACATGGGGTCCTTCAAGTTTCACTGAAATGTAGCGGCCAAAAGGTGATTCAGTTTATTTTTAGGTTAGAATACTACTTCTGCATTACTTCAAATGTGCATGTTCTTGTCAAAAGTATTCTGCTGGGGGGCTATATCACTATATCAGTTTGCTCGAAATATGTACTTTATGAAGACTTTTGGTAACCAGTTATTTCATGTATTTCTTTCCATTTCGTTCTCAACCTATGATGTCTGAGTTTATCCATTCCAACTCAAGCTCATGATACTAACAGAACTATATATGCCGCTAATGATAGTGTTTGCAGGGGCGAGAATGATTAGCACTCTCACATCTCAGCAGAAATGTCCAGACGGTGCCTTTCTGAGTGGAGTTTGCATGTTTTCCCCATGTCTACAAAGGATTCCTCTGGTTTCCCCGACTACTAAAAACATTAAATGTAGGTAAAAATCCTCCAGCTCTTGTCCAGACCAAGCCAAGCTGATCGTCCTGACCACGACCAAGCCAAGTATCAATATCTGGAGATGAGTTCCCACTGCTCCTGACAGGATGCCCTCTTGCCACACAAGTGACTTTGCAGGATGGGTCAAATGCTGAGAACAATATTGCCCCACAGGGATGTATAAAATGTACTTTAACCCTTACCTTAACCATAAAGTAGTTTCAGTATTCTATTTTATTGCTGTTATATCTATTTGTGGACATTTGGACTGGACTCAAATCTAACTTAAAAATGAACTAAAATCACCTTTTTGCTGCTACCTTTCAGCAAAATCTGGAGATAAGACGTATAAATCTGAAATATCCTCAACTTTCTGAGGCAAGTGCGTTCCATTATTACGACCCTTCTAAGAGAAAGTAGATCTAACCCTTCTACTTCGTAAGTCAAACACTAAGTAGGTCGAACACTTTAGAATTTAACATGCTGTTAACTGCATGAAGCCTCTTGTCATTCTGCTGCTATTGTGACTGTTATGATTTGTTTTTGCATTGAAAAAAAAATGAGAAAACATTAATCCTGGAAACTTTCAGAACTTAGGTTTGCCACATTATGACTTACTCCAGCTGTATCCAAACTCATCCTCTGGCTCTTCCGGCCCATCCTTCCTCCCCTCCACCTCCTCCTCCTCCTCCGCTCGGGGGGAGGCCTCTCTCAGGGTATCTGTATCTGTCTCTCCCACATGAGGCACCACTGGCAGGAGCAGCGCCGGGCTGCTGGGGGACGTCTTCACTTTCTCACGCTTCGCTGCCTGTCGCAGATGGAATTAGAAAGTGTCATTAGTCAGAGGTATAAGCAGACTTTGCATAGAAAGTAAAACAAAACTAGCATAGGACCTTTAAAATGGTTATGGAATCAGTAATCGAGCACTATGAGCCCGTTAGGGAAGCTTTTACCAACTGAACAAGTGGTAAATGCTATGAGCCTGTTGTTTTCATATGAATATTTTCATATGAATCAGCATTAGTAGTGGACCTACATGCTTTTACTATAGAAGCACTTTAAAGGTAATGTCAGCACCTTAACTTGTCTTTCGTTTTTAAAATCATGTATATTTCTGACCACCGGACACAATGTCTATTGTGTCTATCTATCTTTATAATGTTTAACTGTCTCTTTATAATTTGAAAAGTGACTGACATTCACTTTAAAGGAGCAGAACTCTGCAAAGCACTGGACTTGTAATTTGTAAAATTAAAAGGTAATTAGTTTCAGTATTAAAACATGTCAACAATGCAATCCTTGATGTAAAGCCCATTCACAGCTACACGTGATACTTACTTGATTAGAATATTGTTCAAAAGTCCATTTACTTCTGTAATCCAACTAATGAGAAACTAATTATATGATAACCACATAAAGTGAGATAAATCTCGCCTTTGTTTGTCATTATGTCATAATATTGATAATCTGCTCGCAGCTTATAAAAACCCAAATAAAACATCCAAAAATGAGAATAGTTTGAAAATAGACTGTAGCCAAAATCATCAACATTATAACAAAGAAAAGCTTGACATACTTTATGTCACTTTGCATGTAATATATTAGTTTCACTTTTTAAATTGAATTACAGAAATATAAGTATAATATATCATTATATAGAATTATTATAAATTCCAGAGTTTCACATGTTCCCTGTATCTCGGTAATTGCTGGGTACAAAATGCCACAGAGTAATGACCCCCCCTCACAAGGACCCAGTGGTTCTCAAAGGGGGGGGGGCGTGAGACGACTGGAACATTCTTCATTATATATTTGCCAATTATTTGATACAAAACAGGGTAATTTAGGAACAAATAAATGACACAAATAAACAAATGATTTATGTTTTGACACTTGACATTATGACTACATTAAATTCTCTGGGGCACGGCTGGGTCTGCTCTGTCTTCACTTAACGTCTCTCTGTTTCTGCACTTTAAACTGAATGACAACACTCCTCACACAGTCCCTGTTTATTTACCTGGGAAAATGTGGAATTGCTTTATTTACACAAGACCCTGGTTTGGCAAAAGGCTCCGGCAGCGTGTGTTGCGTGTATGTGTGAATGGGGCTTAGCATAATTAGATGTAACAGTGTTTAAATTACAGAGAGGTTTTAGAATCTACATGAGGTTTTTATGCAGATTAGTTTTGACATTCGGGAATTAATTCATGACATTACGTGTTATCCTGCCAAATTAGTTTGATAGGACAAGAAAAATAAACATACAAATGCAAAACCTCTTGGCATAAATAACTGAACAAATCATTGCTCTGAAAAGTTATGACATAAACTTACCTTGCACTTTTGCTTAATTATTTATGCAAATTTACAGAGAAGTCATCCCTGCAACTCCATGAACCGATGACTCCTTTGTTTTTCAAATTATTACATGTCCTTTGTGCTAATCGTTTGAGCGGTTATTGGCGAATTGACAATAACCGCTTTTGTAAAGTCCCTAGAGGCAACTTCTGTTGTGATTTAGGGCCATACAAAATGTATTCGAATATTATTATTACAGGTAAAACTCAGAAAATTAGAACATAGTTTGATGAGTCCATTTACTTCAGTAATTCAACCAGCGATGTTACTCTAATAATTATGGCTCACAGCTTGTAAAACCCAAAAATCCCAAATAAAACATCTCAAATTATAACAAACAAAGGCTCGGCATAAATCAATTTAATAGACTGTCTAGACTGAGTGCTGACGTCATCCATAGTGTTCGCCTTAATGCAGAAGAGGCAGAACAGAGCTAGCATGAACAGGCTATTTGAGCGAGAACGTGGAGCACACATACACATTTTGTTGGTAGCGACGGCGGAGTTACCAAGTGCCAATCAGCTTGCTCTACTTGCTAGCTAAAGCTAAAGACAGAAGGCTCATATCTGAATATTAAAAGCCAGTATCTCAATATAAACATCAGGATCAGAGAGATTGCTAAACCAAAAGCTGAAAATGGCTACTGAGCGAGAGGAGTTTACTTTTCATGTAAGTCGAGAGCCAAAGTGAGTTTGACAAAATCTTAGTCAATGAGCCAATCCCCATTAGCCTTCATTAAGCTAGCAGGTAAACAATGTCCATCTATATTCAGTCTATGGTCACTGAGTTTATATAATATATTTTAAGTTGAATTACAGATATATATATATAACTTGTGCACAATTCTCTAATTTTTGGAGTCTCACCTGTATGATATCAACGACACTATTTTAGATTTTTTTTGGGGGGCAGAGCAAAGCGAGTTGGCAGCAAGCAACACAGTGATTGCACAAACATACACAGAATAACATGTAGCAGGAGACATGTAGGCGTTTATGCATGGGGGCGCCGCTTCATGCATGAACGCAAAGAAACACAATGAGGACACAACTCAGACGCACAAACCTTAAACGGGGTGGGAGTGAAAGGGTTAGTTGGGGAGAGGCGGAGGAAAAGTCTATTGTGACTGTCACCTCCCTACAGAGAAGAGACAAACAGTGACAACTTTAGACAACAAAAAACACTGTGAGAATGTGCTGCAGTTTAGGTAGTGGCTCACGGTACCCTGCTGTACATTCATTCATTTATTTTCTTTATTGGCTCATTAAAATATGTGAGAAAAGTGAATTAAAGACGATATTTTTTTCCCCGTTATAATATATGTTGTTTGTCGCAACAGAGAGCGTCTTGTAAAATTGTTTGAACAAATGAGGACATCCTGTCATCATCTTAGAAAACATTTGATAATACAAACTTTTAAGATAGAGCCCTGTGAGTCACTATTTAGCTTTTAGGGCTGAGAGCTGATTGGGCTGAGTGAAGGTGGTCAACTCTATTGTCATCTAACACTAACCCTGTCATCAGCTTCGAGGATTAAGCTTCAAGTTACTCATAACTAACCCATACCGTAATCAAATTAAGCATCCCTATTTTTAACATATTCAAATATTCTAATAAATTGAAAGCAAAACATGAATATTTCTTTCTGCCACAGAGCCTGAAATAAGGTGACAAAATATGAGAATCTGTATTTGGGTTTAACGACTATAAAGCTCTTTCCATGCAGAGGTATGAGTTCCCATTTAGTATATTGTCCAGTGGCGGGCGCTCTACTTAAACACAGATTCGTTCACGCCCGTATTATTATCAGCGCTCTAAGACGCTGTTTTGGACGTAACAAAAGTGGACACGATTGTTACGTCCAAAACGCCCAGTTTGTCCGCAGTTATTGAATAGTCTTTTTTTTGCATAATGTAAAATCTATAATTACAGATTGATTATGGTTATATCTCTAACCATTAACCATTAAATAGTCTTTTCTGTCCTGTTCATTATCCAGTCAGTAAGCCTCCAACACGACATGTCCTAAATGTAACAATTATGTCCCCAAAGTTCAATAATTTTTTTTTGAAAGGCATCCATTTTTCTTGAAATAGTTTTAGCGGGCCTTCTGAGATTATACTAAAGGCTACATAGTGTGTTTAGGCACAAACATTTTTAGTTCATACATTGAAGTCGCTTGAAGTTAGATCGAGTACAGTTTAGTGTGGAGTGAGAAATATATCAGCTACAGTTTAATATCTTACTATATTCTATACATTTTCTTCTTAGTCCAATAACACTTTTTGTCTTTTTAACATCAAACCAAACCCTTACACCAGATGGACAATATAACCACGCTTTCACTCCCTGCTCAAAATCTATATGTATAAAATAATTATACTTTGCATAACCCTTTTGAGCTCATTTTCCTCTGTCACATTTATAAGACTCATAATGAAGATCAGTGCAAAAGACATAAAAACCACTCATCATCCCCTGCTTTGTGCATTTTTGCAGCAATGTCCTCTACAGCCGCTTGAACTAAGACCGCCCCAAAGTACTCTACTTTTTGAGATAACAATAAATCCAAATGCATAGAGTAATAAATATTCAATGCCAGACACGTATAATTGAAAATACCGACCTTGTTCTTGGCGTCCCTTGTTACAGCTGCGGCTCTGTCCTCGCCCGGATCTGTTACCGACGACTACAAGACAGATATCAAGGTAAATAAATCTTCTATACAAAAGACATCTGAAATTAGAGGGAGCGCTTTTTATTATAGCCTCCAATGTCGGCTAACATTGAAGGCTCCGGCTGCACGTTGTAAGGACAGTCTCATAAATACTAGGCTATACAAAAATAACTATTGTAAAGCTCACAATTCCATCTGTTGCAGTAAAAATAAAAAAATGTTTGCGCACAGTTCCATTGCCAGAAAAAACTTGATGGAAGCACCAAATCAAGCCAAAATATTGAAGAATGTCTCAGCTTATATGTCTTTCCAGGATTGACCATTTGAAGGCAGCGATTGCAGTTAAAAGGTTTGGCCAAAAGAGACTTGGATTGTGAAAAATGATACTGCAGTTTCAAGTCGTTCACAGAATTGCGGCCGTCTTATCAAGTTGTCGACTATTGCACTGGCAGCCCGACACTAAAGGCATGGGAAGTAAATGGGTAAAAATGGGGTTTCAAACCGTGGACATGGCAAGAAGAAGAAAAAAAACACATGCAGGCTGAGGCTTGGGCAGAGAAGACAATACATGCAGTGTCCTAACAGTAAAGTGGGGTACCTAAGCTTAAAAAATGCATTGACCCAACATTAAGAGTCTTGTAAAACCAAAAGTAAAATGTAAAATGCTGTCTTCATTGTGTTATTTTTGTAAGAAAAAGCCCTGGGAGTCACTATTTGAGGTTTTGAGAAGCAAGTTGATCGGCTTAAGGTACACACAGAACTAGACAGAAATAGTGATTGTTATGAGACTGAGTGACTAGTTAGATTTTATAGCTTGAAGACTGCAAACTAATTTACAACCTGTTTCATGTACATGTATAAAACAGAATTAATTTGACAAAATATATCACACTTTTGAGCAATTAAAACTCTTATATATTATAACTGTTCTTTCTCATAGCTGGAAAGGACTTTTTACCCCCTTCAAATAACAATTGTTTTGACCAGACATTTTGCATAGAGTCAAAATGAGTCCACTGTGAGTGATTTTGCATCTAATAAACGAAACACTTTTGTTCCATCGTGAAGAAGGAAATGCTGTTACTGCTGTTGGCCTGCTGATTATGGTCATTACTGCGCTGGCAATGCACTTATGACTGTGCATGGGACTGAAACAGAACTATCTACATTTAATATTCTCGGTAATGGAACATAGACTGTACATGATGTCACCGATAGTGTTTGTTTCCTAATGCGGCAGAGGCTGGTTAGATAGTTTGAAAACACGTGAACCACACTTTATCACTGATCCATTTACCCAATAGAAAAAAGGCCTGTATGATAAATAACAGGTAAGATATTTTTTTAAAGAATTTTTTTATCAAGGTTTTTCCAATGAGTCAAAATTCTATGAGGCTGTAGATTCATTAAAACAATGTGCAGTTAATGTAAAAGCATATAATTATTAAGACAAAAACATCACAAAGGGAGCGTCTAACCTGGGAGGGGGCAGGTGCTAAGGTGCTTTGATTAGTGGAACATAGAGTTGACCCATGCTGGCTACGTGGCAGGGGAAAGGGCAGAGCCGGCTTCTAAAAGCACAAACAAGTAGCAACATTTAGGGACATTTGAAGCTGACTAAAATGGAATTGCGATCTCGTTTCTGGGTGAAAAAAAACAGTAGTCCTTAGGTTTTATTCAAATGAGAGCATTAAGGCAAACTGTTCCTTGAGGACGAGTATTTTGCCTGTTAGAAAATGTAAGGAGAGCCTCATTCTACGAAACAATTTAACAAAATGTTTCAAAGATGCCTTCGGGCTTCTTTGAGATTATGTACTGCTTGCAAGGGAAGGATTTGAAACTGAAGAGAAGATAGTCTATTAAGCTCCCAGACGGTTCTGTAGCGGCAGTATAATAAAAAGGGTTTTATTCTGACGAAGACAGACCAACTCTTGGAGAACCATCCATCCAGCACAACATTATGACCACTGACAAGTCAAGAGGGAACTTTATGGACCGTCAAAAACTGGGAACATTCAGACATTGTGGCAAATTCAGCAAGAATAACTCCTCAAATGAGAAGGGAAGGAGTTATTACACATATGAGCCAAACAGTCTGCACTATATTTAAAGGTGCTTTGAGTAACTTTTCTTTTCTTCTTACAGGCCAAAAGGTGTTCAATGGCTTCATAAACATGCACATTTCTGACACAGAAACAGATTTGTATGCATTCTGTTAGATCACAGAATACAGATGCATGATGGTCTTAATGAATTTAATCCATTAATTAGTTTAGAAGTAGTTCTGCATGTCCTTCCTGATTAATTTTTGAGTCTCAAATTTTCAGAACTTTTCCAAAACCAATACAATCCAATAGAGTTTCCATGGCACTGATATTTGACTTTCATTACTTTTGATAAGAATTAGAATATCAAAATCCAAATTTGGATTTCAAAAAAAAAGTTTTTGGCAAACTAAAAAGAGCTTAAACAAAAGCAGAACATTGCATGAATTTGGGAAACTGTATCTTGTTTTGAGTACTGTACCTTGAGGATTTCTCAAAGCAAGTCCTAGTCTTGTTGTTGCACAGAAGCTATATTTTCTCATTCCAAATCTGACATCTCATTTGTTGTATACAATCTGAAATTTCAATGGTGGTGGAAATCAAAAGAAGACTTTAGAATGGCTTATTTCTTGAATTGTACTGAAAACTTGTAACGTTGTGCCTGATGGTTGTATCCTCAAACTGAACTTTTAGCTTGAATGTAGTCAATCAAAAAAAGTCTTATTCACTGAGCGTATTGTTGAAGCGGCTCTTATTATGTGAATGTCAGCAATATAAACTAACAACCACCTCTTTGTTGACAGAATGGATTGCCATCACATCGATTCAGGCAGAAAGCAGAAAAGAAACGTTGGGACGCACATAAACCTACTCTTTGTTTTAACTCCCAGAAGGAAATCTCCAATTCCATTTTGTCTTTATTTCAAAGTCAAAGGAGCACTTTAAAAAAAAAAAAAAAAACAGATAGAGAAGGAATGGGGAGGCAAGACGACCAAAGAGGGGTTGCCAGATAATGCAGGGGAGATTAGGCATGATGGATAGCTGATGCAACAAGAAATAAGGAGACAAAAAGGGGGAAAACAGATTACCTGACGTGTGCTATGTGGCATGCATGTGAAAGCAGTGCTGTGAGATTCTGTGGCGCACGGTGGGGACGGCCTGTACATTGACTCAGGCTGAGAAGGCAGTGTGAAGAAGCACAAGCAGTTTGAAGCCAAATGAGTGAGTAGTTAACGAGTGTTATCAAATTCAAAGGCTTGTCCTTGTAAAACATATGTATTGAGATGTCTGATATTTAGTTTTGCTTTCATTTCGAAAGAATATAACCTGAAATCTGAAAAGAGAACATTGCAACCATGCAAAGAGATTTACCCTTGGTCTATTGATGAAGCTTTGGACCACAAAACAAACAGGGTTTCCTCCCCTGCGAATGGCCTCGACTGCTTCTTCATGACTCGCGTCTCTCAAGTCCACTCCATCCACCTGGAAAAAAAATAACCAGAGTTTTAACCAGGGGAAGACTGTATTGTACAAAGGCACAGAACAGAAACAGTTAAATGGTGTTCAGAAAGAGCAAAGATGAAACAGTTTGACTCATGGATACAATACAATACAATACAACTTATTCTTGTATAGCCCTAAATCACAACAGAAGTAATCTCAGAGACTTAACAAAACCATTGAAATCACCAACACAGCTCAGAGAATCAACAGTTAAAACACAAAAAGAATACAGAACACATGTTGATAAATGTCACATGTTGTAGAATGTTCTGGATCATCACCACAGTCCTTCTAGTTGGACACTAACTGCCCAACAGACCCTCCAGTTGGGTATGGATAAGATTATGATTCTTCTCCTATCCATTTTATGAGTATAATCAGTATGAGGCCAAAAAGTTTTGACTTCGATAACTTCCGTAATTGGAAAAGCTTACGGTTTTGTCACTAATATCCAGTCATCTAATTTAATGTGACATTTTTTACCAACCTTTAAAGCTGGGTAATATTTTTCTTTTAATTCCATGTGTATTTTAAAACCCAGCCTTAAAATACACAATTGAAACCAATAACTGAACAACTCCACTCTGTCCTTCTGACAAACCCTAGCCTCATATGTATTTGACAACCGCAAACGTCGCCCTCCTCACCTCGACAATGCGGTCCCCGGTCTTCAGGGTCCTGTTCTGTCCCGCGGGGCTGTCCTCCAGGATGTGTTTGATGAAGATGCCCCTCATCACTTCTCCGTTGCTCAGACGACTGCCCATGCCACGGCCCCCGACAATACTGATCCCCAGAGACTTTCCCGCCGCCCGGTACAGCTCCACTCTGCCAAGGCAAATGTCAGATATGGTTTTAATATTGGACTTTGGACACTTCGCCAATGTTTGTGCTTTTTTTTTTTTTGCTATTTTAAAGTAGTTAATTTAAAATCTGTCTCTGGACAACATACGGAAAATACCCGTTTGGGCTATTTCTCGTACATTTACTGGATACAATCAGATACTACAACTAATATCTCTGGGAGTTTTGGAAAAAAGGTGATTTTACAAGTTTTGAAAAGCACAGCATATTCAATGTTGTGAACAACTCTATTTTAGAATATCTATGGAATAATTAGAACGTTGGGGTTGATTGAAAAAGTAAGGGATGACTTTATACTCCAAGAGGAATGTTTAGTAATAATATGGTAAGCAATTCAAAGTGTGAATACTGCTGCTAGTGTTTTGTAGCTGTTTATGTCTCTGTATGCTAACACTGTGCTCAATTAAATTAGATTTTTGCAGAGCTGCCTTATAAGATTGATGATCATTTACTTTCTCGGCTGGTTCCAGTTGCTGTACGCGCTCTCTTCTCCCTCTCCATCCTCGCGCTCAGGAAGATTAGGAACACTTCTGAAATGGAGGAGGATTTGCATTAAATTCTAGGTTAAGTTTTTGCCACTCTACAACAAATGCAAAATGTGAAAATACCTTGAAGGAGGTGGTGGGATGTCCTCCGAGACGTAATCATCTTTCACCTGGGATAGACTGGCCTTGTATTCTTCTAAATATTCAGCTGGGACATATGTGATGCTGGAAAGCAGGTAAATAAGGTAACTTTTTAGAAAACTAAAGTAAAAAAATTAACATCTACTGTATCTGTTGTTTATCATACTTCTTAGAGACCCCATGTATTCCTATTTCTATTAAAATAAGAGTTTAAAATTCTGTTAATATGGAAAATCTAAATATCAAACGAATCGAATCGAATCGAATTATTAAATTAGTGTAAATTCAATTATTCTAAATACATGGCACCATGGCAAGCGCTCTGGTGTGTACTTGGTGCACACTGGGGTAGTCTTGTACAGCTATTCCAATATGGTTTTAATTCAAATGTCAAATAAACTGAAATTGAATCTGAATTGCTTTAGCCCGACCATGGACATGTTAGAGAACACTGTAAGTTTAAAGACAGATCCGGGACATCTCCTCAAAAGATAACGTCGAAAAATCCTTCCTGAGTTTTGCATTACGTCCCGTTGCCAGATTTCAGTCTCGAGTGGCTCCAAATCTAATCTGCATATTCTAATATCCGCTTTAGAGCATATTTTCTGAGCGTTTTCGCAGTGATGCCGAACGCTGAGGCCACATGGGTGCGGTGCTGCTGACAGATCCTCCGACAGATGGGTTGATTTGGTTTGGAAAGACGGCGGAGAGCGGACAGAGAAGGAGAAAGAATCCCACGGAAATAATGAAGCAGATGAGGCGCCCCATTAGGAACAAAAACAACAACATGCAGTCAGCGACGTGATGGAGAGAAGTGTGTTAGAACCAGGACCGACCAACAATGATAAGTTAAGTGCTGAGCCATGCAGAGGTGGACGGATGCAAAAGGAGACAGGGCAGCCACGATTTATCCAGAAAAAAAGACCTTATAAACAATATGTTAAAGCTGGGGTACCTAACTTTTAAACCACAAAGAACAGGATTCACGTCACGCTCTGAAAACAGTTTAGCATGCATGCATTTTTGTCCTTTGTCTCAGCTTTTTCAAACAGAAAAGTGAAAAAGAGCCAATCAGCTCTCAGCCCGAGGAGTCAAACAGTAATGCACATGGCAATACTCAGTGACAATTGCTTACTGTTCTATTTATTTCTGTACTTTTAATATTGTGTTATGTCTGTATTTGTCTGTGCATACTGGTGGCTTTTGCAAAGGTATTCCAATGTGGGTTTTTTTTTTACTGCAAATGGCAAATAAACTGAATCTGAAGCTGACTCTTTCTGTTGGGACAAACAAAGTGTATTTATGAAACCAAAAGAAATGTTTAGCACTCCAGCTTTAGAATGACATATACATGTAGTTTTGAATACTAAAGATACATGTAATACCATATTTTGGGTCCATACATTCTATTTTTTCAGTGAGAAACATACAAACAGCCACAATCAAAATTGGGATTTATTTTTGTGTTTCCTGTTTAGATATCAATTTATACTGAAACTAAATACTAATCTGAGACGACAAAATACCCCATTTTATGAGCAGTTTTAGAGAGATGTTTATCTATATCAGAACTAGTGCAAAGCCTTGTGGATCCATTAAAAAAAAGAGAATTTTGTGCCAATATCTGTGTTAAAAATGGCAGCTAATATTTGAACAAAGGGAATATTGAATCTGAATCCCAGTTTACATTTCAACTACCAGTTTCCCCTGGTAGTTTGTCTCCCAATGTTTTAAAAGTTTGGAGAAAGTAATTATTAATATTCAGTCTGTTCAGTTTTTAAATGTTAGCACTGTGACTGTCCTCAAAACTCCGCCATAATTCTTTTTCAGCAGCTTGATATCATATTTGACTCACACAGATACACATTTTAATGAAGTTTGTAATTCTAGACATTTTAAACCCATGAATAGCTTTTATGGATTTATCAGCTAATCAACCTTACACCTTACTAGTTTGGACAAGCCTGGTTTGAGCAAATCTGGACTAAATAGGACTAATGCCGGAAAACATTTAGTCTATCTTGATTCAATATTATATTAACTTGCACTGCAGGAGGAGACACTAAAGGTCAAAACACACCCATATCAAGATAGAAACTAACTTCAGGCATTTCTAAACCTTTTGGATAGTTTTGGATTCTGGATAAATCAAAGTTGTAGACTGCGTAAACTCAGTAAAGTCAGTATAGAAGAAAAGATGGGGATGGCGGATGAAAGCCAGATAACCACCAGCGTGGACGTTAGTGATACTCACACATAAAACGGGCACAGATCGTCCTCGGGTGCACAAGCAGATCTAGAATGTGAAGAGTTGCCTTTTTATGCACCGAAGCTAAAAAAACTGCCCAGCTTAGTTCACAGCAAGCACAATTGGAAAACACTCCATTCAATTTAGTGAAAAACTCCAGACAAAACCACTGTATTTTTGTATCTGTATCTGTAAAATGCCTTGTAAAAGTAAAACAAAACTCAGCCGACACTATCAAACATGGACGTATGATAAAATGTATGATTAAGCAAAACGGATTACTCAAAGCATCAAAAATATTCAAGAATTGTCCTAAAAAGTCCATTTAGCTCTGTCCCAATTCTATAACTGTATTTGTATCCAACTTCTTACAAATGTGAGCATCTGGCATCTATGTACGTGATTATTTAAGCTAGAGAGACCTACAAAAGCAAAGTAATTTAAAGTACCATTTTGATTTAATGATTTAGTATTTTAACAATGTACCATGATTACAGTTAAATGATTCCCACTATATTTCCACTAAATGAGTTGAAGTTAGTCATAAGAATGTGGAAATCAAAAACAGAAATAAAATACAGGCGGTGTCCAATCAAAACCTGTCTCTCCGTCTTACCCCATATCGGGACCTATCAGAGAGTGTCTGCGGAGCATGGCCCGGGCCTGGGAGTTGCTCATGTGGGCTGTGGGCTCCCCGTTGATGGCGAGGATGAGGTCGCCCACACCCAGGCGCCCGTCGCGGCTAATGGAACCCCCGTGAATGATACTGCGCACCAGCATTCCCAAGCCGTCCTTCATCGCGCTCACTGTCATCCCTTGGACAAAATGAAAACACTTGAAAGAGGGCATAATTGTAAATGATTCCAGGTATTCATTGGATGACATTCTATACGTATTAAGTGTGTAACCCGTGTCACATGACCACTTCTGGTTTTAATTTGGAACAACTTCCCTTAACAACATACCCAGTTTGACAGCTGCTCCTCCAGCGTTGTCTACACTGCCTGCTTCTCGCTGAAACAACCTTTGGATTTAATCACCCAACTATCACCCTGATTCTTGCACCTAATCTTTCGCTCAACGGTCAGGTTTTTGTAGAAATTGCTTTGTGGATCGGTAACAGGTTTAACGGTTCTCAATTTACCATAAACAGTCAAAATTTGGAAATGTGTACACCTGATTGCTCAACAAAGTCCATGGTTAGCTTGTTAACTTGACCACTTAATACACACTCAAAGTGTATTAGCAGTTCCTACAAGTGCATCTGATGTATATAGTTGTAGTCCAATACTTAACGTCTAAAAACATGAATATTTACAGAAATGTTTTCATAAATCCAGCAGCTGCTACTTTATGGGATGAGAACAAAACTGCTTGATACTGTAGGTTGCATTCATGTTTTAGAATTGTATTTCAATTCAAACTGCATGAATCAATTTAAAAGTAATGTTTAAAGTGCAAATGAAAGAGGAAAACCTTTAGAACACTCTTAGTAGTTGATTCAAACTACGCCCTTGCAGCATAAATCTCATATTATTTAAGATTTATACTTGTGTTATTTTTCATTAACATGTTTATGAGGAAATGTGACATAGACCACAGAACTCATTTCACCAGCCCATTTCAACCCAAGTAAAAAAAGGTTTAATACAAACCTAGGCTAGAATTGCCCTTGACGACCGTGATGGTCCTTTCAAAACTGCTTCCGGAGGTCAGTGCTTCCTTGTCTTCATCTTCAGCGGTTTCTTGCTCGGCGCTCTCCTCGTCCTTGAGAAAGATCAGAGTTATTCATGAAAAGAAAATATGCGCACAATCCAATTCACATCCACATTTCAGGCTGGTGAACTGTTGCACCTTTTTCATGTATGTACAGCAGCATTGTTTTAGGTGCAAAACGTACCAAGTAATTTTATTTTTTAACTTTTAATCAAATGTTCTAAATGGCGTTTTACAATATCATACGACAATTAAGTTGCATAATATCTTCCTTTATAAATGTATCGATTATCAGGGACAGAGCCATGAAAAACAGATATAAAATAGATAAAATAGCTAAACCTCTCCTCTAGAGATTTGTTTAAGAATGGTGAAACTTTATGTGAAGCGACTTCTTCGAAAGCGTCTCTCCCATTGGCGCTGACAGTGTTTAAAACGGCTTTCACCACATTGTGACAATCTAACAGAGCTGGAGCAACAGAAAAGTGAAGTACTCAAAGAGGAGAGTATAGGATGAAGCCAACAGTGGTTTTCCAAAGTAAAAAACCACTGTTTGGTGGTTTCACATCTCTACAAATGAAGCATTCTTGTCCTAATTGGTTCAGTTAAAGTAAAGTCTGGTTCACTTGGGACTCAAGTGTCCACCTCCCTCAGAGCTGCAAACTACAGCTTATTGAAAACCACAGCTGTAAGTAGGAGTTTACCAAGCAGAGAAAAAAAAGCATAGAATGAGAGCTTCTGATGTAACACTGTCTATGCACGTCACCGGCCTATTACACACCTACTACACACCTAAATTATGCCATCCATCCATCCATTTTCTTCCCCTTATTCCATTTCTGGGTCGGGGGGGTGGCAGTCAGAGCTGCACCCAGTACACAGAGCACCAGCCCCTCACTGATCCTCCTGCAGGTGCTGAGTCCACAGGAGCTGAGATCTTTCAGCGGGGGCATTGGGCAAAGTGGGGTTAAGTGTCTTGCCCAAGGACACAACGACAGCAGTCATCAGTGGGAGTCGTGAAGTAGGTCTCGTGGTGGATTCGAACCTACGACCTTCAGGCCCAAAGGCCGATGCTCTACCAACTGAGCCACTGCCGCTTATGTTGTTTTGTCAATTGGGGGTCCAAGTGCAATTTTAGCTCCAGACTTTTTATATTATGGTGGCTGAGTGGATAGCACTCTCGCCTCTCAGCAAGAAGGTCCTGGGTTTGAATCCCGGTCGGAACAGGGCCTTTCTTAGTGGAGTTTGTATGTTCTCCCCGTGTCTGCTCCGGTTTCCTCCGGGTGCTCCGGTTTCCCCTACCACTAAAAACATGCACAATAGGTCTGAATGTAAATGAGAGAGTGAATGGATGGTGTTGGAGCTGATGGTCCAGTGTGTTCTGGACTCGCTTCTGTCATCACCGTGTGTGGAAGGATTGGAACAATATCTGACTCTGAACATTGTAAAGCGCTTTGGGTGAAATACAGGTAACAAAATGAACTTAAAGTATGACGCACTTTCAACAACATCTTCATCTCCTCCATGTCTGCAAAGGCCATGGGAGGCTGGGTGAAGTGAATCGTCTTCCCCTCGACGACGCTGTCCTTGTTTTGGATCGTTTCGGCAAACGGACTGTAGGAGTGCAAGCCGTCCACCGGTTCTTCTGTGTGTGTCGCCATGAACTGGTCTGAACTGGCCACGCTGGAGTTGAAATCCAGAATGTTATGCCTTAAACTCGCAGGGCTGTACGTGGAGGCCGTTTCCATGGAGAAAGGCGGAGGTGCGATGTCTTCTTCCAGGCCGCTCGTAACAAAGTGTGGATCCAGCAGGTCGAGGTGAGCTGCAAGCTACGGTAAAACAAAGCAGAGAGGATACATCTTAGTTACTTATAATGAGCCGCTGGGTTTTCACAAGTGGCCAAAGGGGAGTTGCTATTTACCCAGTGCAATTGGAGGACACAAATGAGATAATAAGGACAAGACTGATTTTGCAAACGACACTAAGGGTAAGTGCTTAAGTAAATAGGAAAAGTGACGCAAAAGCCGAAAAGCAAAGCTATAACCGTGGAAATCATTATTACCTTGCAATACCAGACTATACTGTATCTATTCAAGTTTCTCATGTACAACATATGTTCTGGGTTATATAAAAGTTTATAGTTCCACATGCTATACCAATTTGTAAAGCTCAGAACCTCTTGAAAGCAGTTGTGGACTTTTTTTTGCATATTCTGACATGTGTTATTGATTGTGTGACAAAATTCCGTGTATATGTAGCTTGTGAGGCTTGTTAAACAGCCAACATCCAACCTGTCAAATTTGAATCAATATTTGACACTTATACATCGCTGCTAACTGTAACTCTTTATTAAGAAGTAAGTCATCTTTTTTTATATACCGCCTTTCACAGACCAGAGTCACAAAGCGGTTTACAATTGTTATTTTTGGGCACTTGTCTCTCACTCCACACAGAGATGGGAGCGGGGTCGTCGAACAGGAGGCGCATGACAGACCTATTGTACATATTTTTAGTGGTAGAGGAAACCTACGCACACACGGGGAGAACATGCAAACTCCACTCAGAAAGGCCCTGGTCCAACCGGGATTTGAACCCAGTACCTTCTTGCTGAGAGGCGAGAGTGCTATCCACTCAGCCACCGTGCCGCCCATACCACATTGGGTTGTATTTTAATATTTATCAATTGGTCCGAACAGCGAATATCACATTTGATATCTTTCCTCGGACCGTTACCATGACAATCGGTCCACAGCCCGTATCACACAAAACCAAGTCGGACATGAACATACTTCATAAATATCTCAAAAGCATTGGTAAAGACACAGACGAGAGTCATATAATAAAACATTTATTAACCTTGCTTGCTCGGTTAATAAGCCGTTAATAATCGACCTCTCAAAACAATAATGACCTCTGTCCTTTGGCAACGCACTCTCTGCTTGTAATTCAGATGTGTAGATTACTCCACAAGTAGTTCCGGCCACTCCGTCACTAGCCACGCTCAATAAACACAAATACCAATCAATCAACACATTTAAATGTTAATGGGAGAATACATTATAGACATTCTTAACACACGTGCACAGAGGTTTCAGAAGTATCTGTAAAGGTTTTCATGACAAAAATACTGTTTTAATGCGAGAAAAAGCTATAGCGAAAAACCCGGAAGTAGATTCTGGGACATTTTAGGAACATTTGCAGAGGATGGAATTATGGATTTAAGTTAAGTTTATGTTTGGGTCACTCACCGCTGATGTTCAGAATTCATGCAGTTCCAGAGAGTTCTAGTTTGGAAGTTGAGCAGGCCGCTTCGCCCTGTCTGTACTTTTTTTCCGATTATGACCTACGTAATATACATTATCCTTTACACATTGGTAACATGCACTTTTTATTGAACTGTATGTTAATGGGTAATATATGATTGTATTGTCAAGGACTACAGATGGAAAGTAGCATGGGGCTAAATCTGGTGCAGCCATCTTTTTAACTGCGACTGCACATTCTCATTAATACATAAAACCTTAAACATGCCTCATCTTAATCCAGTCAAAACTGTTTTACTATCTAGCTTATCGGTTCATTCATCTAATGTTTTCCTCATAACAGTTTTCTTAAATCTCTGTGTGAAGTGAGAGACGAATGCCCACAATTGTAAAGCGCTTTGTGACTCTGGTCTGTGAAAGGCGCAAAATAAAAAAAGAATTACTTACTTACTATATATATAGAGGTATTTCTAAATAACCACAACACGTTTGAATGGCTGTCTCAGTTTAATATGCCTCGTAAAGGAACGGGCTTTTGTTTATCACTTACATCCTAATACACACGGTCTGACCCTATTTACAGTAAATCCATTTAGAAAACTCTCATTGTTAGAATTCCATTACTCCTGTTTACTTCACTGGGCACCCTTTCACCAGTCGGGCTTTTTAGTTATGATCCTGCAAATGGGAGTAAACGTGACCTTTCAGGGCGAAATGAAAACACCAAAGTATTATTAAGAAAACAGTTTATGTGCCCTTTGTTCTACATTGTTAGTTTTTTTCTCAGGGAATAAAACTGCAGACTGTGGACAAGAGGCCGCTGAGGCTGTCGTCTTCATGCAGCACTCACTATTGTTGTTCCTCAATTAAAAACATTTCTCATGACATTTCGGCTCAGAGCAGCAGATTCCACACATAATGGTTAGTAGCTGTAAAGTCCAGAAAAAGGCCGGTGGCATTTAATGAAAAGATGAGTCCATTTATTTTTATAGTGAGATTGATTTGGTTTTAAAGAAGACATTTTCTCACTATGTACATGTGAAATAATATATTCAAAATATATGGTGAAATGAGCATGAAAGTAAATACTGCCATCGGCCTGCTCAATCCTCATGCTACCACCATAGACTGTATATATTAACGAACGTAGTCAGGCCTATCTCCGCCGTTCTAACTAATGGGCCAAAAATTGGGCTTTCATGGAGTGATTCAAAATGGCCGCAGGGGCTGGAAAATGTGAAAAAACACATCTGTGCATGTGTCAGCTGCACGAGCTCCATTCATTTAAACGAGTGACTTCAAAAATTCACAGCGACTAAACTAGACTGGTCCAGAACACCCCCCTCAGAATTGACTCACATGTGGAATGGAGCTTTGGGCCAAGAGCCACTTTTGGACCATCCTGTAAAGACGTTTTGAGAGGTCAGCTAATGCTATATGTTAGCATTGGCTAATTCTTATTCTGGGTCCACCCCCATCGGCCCGGAGTGGTATTTCAGCATGTCAGCGCACGTCATTTTGGCCACGTTTGAGCTGGGACCCGCCCCCACTGGCTACCACCAGAGGGAGGTGTAGAATGTATTATTTTATTTTGTTTTCAAATTTGAAAATTACCAGCTGCACCACTAACATGTGATTGCAAAGAACGTAATTTTACATGACAAAATTGTTTACCGCACCCTAATGTGATTCCCTCTGTGTCCCTGTGGGTCCGTCCATTGTCTATCCCACGCTTAATTTGGTTTTACTTAATGAAATTTCACTTTATCTTCAGTCCTGCCTTTTGGATTCCTTTTTTCATTTAACCTCATGTTTTTGATGATGGGAACAAGTTTGTAACATGGATAAAATCTCAAAAAGGCTGATTTTGCATAATACTCGTCTCTCGTTATTGTGATTACCGTCGGTGTGGATGTGTGTAAGAAGTCCTGGTCGGTGCTGCAGCTGCTGCCGTGAAGGGCCATCATAGAAGCGTGGAAAGTGTCGTCGTCAATAGCGGCGTAAGTATGCTCCAGTGCTTTCTCATCAGGCAGATCTGCTTCGCCGGCATCAATCTAAGACGAGAGACGTACTTTGTGACAGCGATCGTGAGTAATACAAATTAACACACAACAGAGACACTCAAGCACAAAGCTGTCACTCACGCACACAAAAAGAGAAGAATATAATTAGATCAATAAACGTGGATGGACGAAAAAAAGTAATATTTAGAAATGTCAGTAATACTTTTCTTTATTTCCATAAAACCATATATTATGAGTTGAAAATGACATGATGTTGGTGTATGAATTAAGTGGAGGAAAATGAATGGTTGGATTACCGTAATTCTCGGGTTATTAGGTGCTACTTTTGCCAAGTGCCACGGTTTACATGGAAAAGTGGATAATTTAAGGAATTGTTGCTAAAGGTTTATGGCTTCCTGAGCACTTCCTGAGAATTTTCTGAGCATTTTTTGAGCACTTCCTGAGCATTTTTTGAGCACTTCCTGAGCAATTCCTGAGCATTTCCTGAGCACTTCCTGAGCATTTCCTGAGCACTTCCAGAGCCCTTCCTGAGCCCTTCCTGAGCATTTCCTGAGCACTTCCAGAGCCCTTCCTGAGCACTTCCTGAGCATTTCCTGAGCCCTTCCTGAGCATTTCCTGAGCACTTCCAGAGCCCTTCCTGAGCACTTCCTGAGCATTTCCTGAGCACTTCCTGAGCACTTCCTGAGCATTTTCTGAGCACTTCCTGAGCACTTCCTGAGCACTTCCTGAGCCCTTCCTGAGCACTTCCTGAGCACTGACACTTGTGAGGAAAGTTTACAGAACGATTTTTATTTTGCCATATATTTTTCAGAGGGAAATATTGAGATTGTTTTGCTATTTGTGACTATTAGAACACAAAGTTCACCTGCACAGGTTTGGGTATGTATGTAAATATTTTCATGAATGATCTACTTTTCTCACTTTTATAACTTGCTTGCACCATGAGCGTGAGCAAATTCCTAGTTTGTGACTTCCTGTTACTTACAATGGCAAAATAAAGTCAGATTCTGAAGTTTGAAGCAGGCACCGTATATTTAACTGGGGATGAGGCAAGGATTATGGTTAAGATCACCTCCAGAAGGATGAAATACCGGGATTTTAGTGAGCCCCACAAATATTCGACGTTCAAACTTTGTGTTCTCGTGCCGTTGAAAACACCTGTGGCTTGCCTTCAACTGCGTTCTAATTATATGGAACATTAATTTCTTTTTAAAATGTAACTGATGCGGCAAATAAACAGGTGCGCCCGAACACCCGAGAAGTACGGTATGTGGTTTGGGTGAGTCTTTAGTTTGAACTGAAATCATGTTAGAAATGTTATCTTTGTTAGATTAATTACACTTCTTAAAATAATAGTGTAAATGTCGCTTTTAAGACTAAGCATAATATTTGTATCTGATTTGCCAGCGTCAATCTATTGGACCAGATTGATTAGGCTCAAACTTATTCAGCAATTGTGTTCCATGTATATGCATGTATAAGCAGTTTTCACATATAAATGATTGTAAATTATTCTAAAATTAACTAAAAATATTGACAGATTAAATGAAAGGTGAATACGTAATAATCTCAAAAAGCAGCATAATTATAAACAATGTCATATATCCATTCTTGTCTCAACCCTTATTCTAACTGACCAATGCCGGCTCTGCTCGGTAGAGGATGCCCTCAGGAGCCAGTTCTTCTTCCTCTCCTTCTTCAACCAAAATAGTGTTGAAATCAAATGAATGGATGGCGCTTGATGATTGGGAATACCCACATATTCCCTGGGAAAAGTGGAGAGAAGCTTTTTTCAGTGGCTCCAGCTTTATGGCACAGATGTGTTTGAAAGTTTACACACCCAACCAGAGATGTCATTGTTCTGGACATATTTTAGAGATAAAGAATTATGACACAAGAACCTCTTTTAACTTGTTGTTAGTGGTTGTACGAAGCCATTTATTGATGAATAGGAGTATTTTCTTTTGTTCGATCACAACATGATTGAGCAGTTCATGCAAGGCTGCCCAGGAATTTACAAGAACTGAAGGCATTTTGTCAGGGAGAATGGACAGCTTAACAATCAGAAAGGATATAGAAGCTCATCCACAACTACCACAAAAGACTCCTGGCTGTCATAGATGTTAAAGGGTAAATACACACTAATGCTTTTAATCTTTTAATCTGGATCATTTGAGTAGTTTCTGTTGCCAGTATAATTCAAAACAATGCTTATTCTGTATCTTAATCTATATCTCCAGCTCAACTCAGAGGCTTCTCCATCTGTGCTGCTGTGACCTAAAGGGCTGTTGCTGATAATTACTATTATTATGTTTTTAGAATAAATTTTATTTTTATTTTTGCTGCTACTGGACACCTGCATTTCTCCAACAGGGATCAATACAGTATCTATCTATTCAACAATACATGGCTTCACACAACCACTACAAACGACTGAAAAATAACACTCAATGAAAACAAAATCTCAAAATGTCCCAAAAGTTGACATTTCTACTTGGGTGTGTAAACTTTCAAGCACAACTGAATGTCAGTGGGTTATGATCAACTCAGGAGGAGAAATGTTAGTGTGAGTTTAGTGGGCAGAGACATAGATAGTAGAGAAGGATGTCAAAGTTAAGTTTTAAATGAACAATAAAAGGTAGTATAACTGAAAATAATGTATGTGTTGAAATGGATCAAAGTTGCCATGAGCTTTGAATATAGAAGACGACATTTTTCCCCCCCAAATGTGATGTAGTCAAAACAAAACAATAATTTACCACATATTCCTTGTTGTTCCAATTGAAAAAAATACATAAATTACAACTAACTGGACTAAAAACATCTTTTTTTCTCAAGAGAGATACGACAGTTTTGCAGGGTTAGTCCAACTTGCATAAATTAACTGATTTTAAAGCAGACATCAGACATCTCTTCCTGCTTAGACACGAGTGGCTCATTATTATATATTTAGTACTTTTCAAATCCGTTCACTTCTGTATTCGGATCCACCATATTGTGCTCAAACCACAGATGAAGTTGGCAATCAGTGGAATTTTTCCCCTCTGCCAAATCATTCATCGAGAAATCACCATTCAACTTAAGTAAATGACAACAGTGAGCCTGTCTGTGTGGTCTGAGGAGTCAAGGGGGAGCCACTGTACGAGAAAATAAATACAAAAATATTCTGCATGTCATGTTAATCACCCTTTGGTATAATAAAATGTATTTTTTATAGAGCAAAACCATACTGGGAAAACAGCGTCTGATCAAAAAGGACACCATAAAAGCAATAAAGCACACAGCATTCTGAGAGGCAGCACATGGAAAGTCTTTGCCAAAAAAAATGCTACTTTTGCTGCAAAGATGAATCCGCATAGCCTTTCTATAGCTCTGTAACCTCGTCTCCCCGAACGGTCCACAAAGTAATCCAAAAGTGGATTGATTCAAGCAAAAACACATTCAGAGAAAAACAGTACGAGAACAGAGATTGACAAACCTGACATATTCCAGACACTATTTTGACAAGTGCCCCCTATGTATTTAAATGCACTTTGCGAAATTCAATAACATAATGGTATGAAACAAAAGGGCATGGTGCATTCTGGGTAGCTCTCCTGCTTTCAGAGAACAGTGGGTGGAATGCTAAACCGTGGAGCCGACATCCGCTCTTTTCTCTGCATGAAAAATTCAAGTGTGTGTAAGCTGAGACCTCATGACTGGGTACTAAGTCGCATTATTCAAAAGCCTCTCTGACTCACCGGGGAGCACAAATACATACATTATCTTCAATTTGATTCAGGCGAGGGTAAGTTTTTCTATAATTTATAATTTACAAGGCTGAAATGGGAAACTTGAAAACACGATCGTATAGAGTTACTTACAGGTAGAGGCTTGGAGACACCTATTTGGACTTTGCCGAGAGTGGCTCCCTTCAGGGCCTGCACAGCGTCCTCTAAACTGGCATTTTCCAGATTAGTGGCATTCACATACATGAGGCGGTCTCCTGGCAACAGCCTGCCATCCTGCTCCGCCACGCCATCGGGGACCAGGGAGCGGATTACAATCACAGTCTTGGTGGGATCCATGGGGTCCTAAAGGGAAATGTGTCATATTTATCATTAATTTATCCATATTATTATAAGCATAAAACATAACTAAAGCCTGGTTCACACGGCAGGATAATCAGGCCGAGTTAAAGCCCGATTTACCCCTAACGACAATCTTTTGAACGCTTCGATTTTCGTAAAAAAATCTGATGGATTTTCCTGCCATGTGTGGTGTTGGGGATATCCAATATGTTGGATTGTTTTGGCCCAATTTCTCTTGGTGTGTGGTGTCCTCCGCGTGTAGCCAATCAGAAGACGAGGTACGCTACGACATTCCAATGTGGAAAAAAAACAACTGTATAGTATAGTCCATGCTCGCGTTGTCTCAACTTCTTTGATCATGCCTTTTCTCTGTTAAAGACAAACTGGAAACTTCGTCCGCCATGATTGTTTATTTTAAAGTCACGCTTAATCTCGCGAGATTTTGTGAGATTTCCGTCTGATCTGGGGGAAAATCGGTTCGTGTGTGATTTGCATGATTTTGCCGTGCGGCTGCGCACCACACACTGTACAACCAAAGTGGTTAGACCCTTGATTTTTTATCTCCGTATTCCTAACCTGACAGACCCCACGGTCTGTCAGGTTAGGAAAATCAACCGACAATTTTAAAATCGTCTCATGTGAACCAGGCTTAACATTATAACTTTTTACATTTAATGATTTTTTTGTTTGGGGCGACAGTAGCTCAGTTGGTAGAGCATTGGCCTTAAGGCCTGAAGGTCGTGGGTTCAATTCCCACCTCTACACCTTCTCCAACGACTCCCGCTGATGACTGCTGTCGTTGTGTCCTTGGGCAAGACACTTAACCCCACTTTGCCCAAAAGCCCCCACTGAAAGATCAAGGCTCACACTCAGAGAGCAGCCGTCCTCCTGTGGACTCACCACCTGCAGAGGGTCAGTGAGGGGCTGGTGCTATGAGACTTGGGTGGCATCTCTGACTGCCACCCCCCTGACCCAGAAATGGATTAAAGGGTAGAAAATGGATGGATGGATGGATGGATTTTTTTGTGGTTTGAAAGTTAGGTACCCAAGCTTTAAGGCCTGTCTAGAATGGAGCAAACAGATAAATCATGCTATTTTACTTTGCACCCGCAGTTAAGCACTTGGGTTTGGAATAATAAATATGCTTAATCACACTTGCCTGATAGTCCAAAATGCTGAAGCCCAGTCCGCCCTCTCCTTTCTCCAACTCAATATTCTGCACCTCCAGTTCCCACATGGCCACAGCAGATGCAATCGCTTCCACAGCCACATTATCTGGTGTCACTTCCATGGCATTCTCTTCCGCGTTCTCGGCCCCCAATACATTATTCAGGTCGATTTGTTTCTGAAAAATAAGGTGTCCGCAATCTCACAATCAAGTTCACTTTCACTTTTAGACATACAAAAGTTACGAGTCTCAAGCCGTGTTTTGGCTCAGCTTTCTGGCAGCAGATAAAACAGGAAATCGCTTTGGGACAGAGAGACTTCAGTGCGCCATCGCAGGGCTAAAGAAATGAAGCCTATTCCTGAAGGGCTTTGATGTACCAGATCTAGCAGAAATTTGGTTTCAGTCGTTTCCAGGACATTAGTAGATTAAGTCTTTAAAAAATGCTGAGCTAATAAAGATGACATGTATATGATCCATATACAACAACTCACAGTAAGTTTATTTGATGGATAAGAAGTTTTTAGTTTTATTTTCTCAATCTTTTTGTGGAGTGACTGACTAATCTGGACATCTTTTATCTTAATAGACATATTATGTAAATTATATACATTATTTATTCCATGTATTTATATTAAAGCCCAATATTTATCAAAAACAAAGTCTGCTGATTTTATAATTGTTGATTTGTCCCTTTACGCTATAAACAGAGGGTGTTGAGGAGTAAAACTATTTTTTTGAGTACTTTAGCTAGTATTTAGAACAAAATTACTCTCAAAAACTGAAGGAAACGTTTTCAAGATGAGAATAGCAGAATTATGTATCTAGCATTAGTATTATACAGTATATAATATAGTAAACAATATATTGAACCAGCGATTTAAACTTTTCTGAATTCAAGTTAGTGTAAAAGTATTCCTCGTATTCACAACACAGCACTTTGATTGGACCACGTAACAAAATACATTTCAAGTACTTTTTAAAGTAGGTATTTACGGTAGTATTCTGTAACTAAATAGATATATCATAGTACCACAGGAGCACAGACTGCAGCAGTACAAGGGAGTCAGCTACAATTGTTGTCTTTTCCCAATATGCAAAATAAGGATGTGTTGTATCCTCTGTCATTACCTGAAACTGAGTGATCAAGTCCTCGGGCTCCGGTCCAATGGAGTCCGTGTCGGTCTGCACGTATGGAGCAGGTCTACAGCATGTCATGAACACACACAGAGGCAGCTCCTTCAGGATCCTCACCACTTCTTTGTGGGACTCTCCAATTAGAGAAATCCCATTGACCTAATCAAATGTATGAATCAATTAGACAAGAAGAACCACCGTGAGCGCTCGTTATGCTGTTGTACCTCGAGCAGCTCATCTCCACTGAACAGCATGCCACAGCGGCCCACCGGCCCCTCGGGCAGCACGGAGCGGATGTAGTGGTGTCCGCTGTTCACCTCCAGACTGATGCCCAGCCCACTCCTCTCACTGAACTTCTCCACCTGTGCCACCTGCCATTCACAACAACAGTGCATCTTATTCAGAACAAAAAGTTACAAATAAAACAAGAAATATTACACTTTACAATTGAGTGCATCATTGAGTGTATCCTCAACATTAAAGATGAACTTTCTTGATGCATAAATAGCACTTGTCTGTCCCAGTAGAAAGATTCTTGTAAAAATAAAACGCTGTTATCAAATCAGCCCACACCATCCTGTCTTTACCTTATGAGAAAACATGTTCACTTTTGCATACTTGAAAAAAAAAGAGCCCTGTGAGTCACAATTTGACGCTGAGTGAGATTAGTACTCTCTTTTTCACGCTTCGATCTGAAAAAGCAGATCTAAAATTGCAGCAAAAAAATACATTCATGTGAAAAATGACTTGAACAAACTGCTTTATGAGCAAGTCGCAATTTACATGTATTTTATGAAATGTACAGCAGTAATTATTTCAATAATCAATAACTATTTCAGTCATTGACTTTGTTTTTAACAGCAGCATTTACAGACTCCAGCATAAGTGTGATAAGTAAGATGTGATTTTAAAACTCTAACAACGCAGTGATAACAACAAAATAAAACAAATTAATTCATAAATGTCTGAATTTAATGATCACATTGTTTTGTCTGGAAATATTATCTATTAGAATGTTGTCAAGCAGCTTCACTTAAACTTTAGGTTAAAAAGACATGTCATACTGTATATATTTATTATTATTATTATTATTATTATTATTTATTTATTAATTATGGATTGCCCCTTGAGAATAATCATCTCTTTTCCGGGGGGCTCCTGAGATCTTCAATCTAAATAACTAATCAATTAATTGGAGGAATAATCACTGGATTAATAAATTATCAAAATAATTATCAGTTGCAGCCCCATAGTTAACTTGTTTGTAATGTGAAAGTTAGGTACAACCCGAAGAATAACAAAAGGTCAGAAACTTACAACAACTTCATTATTTGGTCCCAGAATCTCCAGCCACTTCGCCACTAGTTCTTCCTCTTCAAACGGTGCAAGTTTCATTACTTAAAGACAACAAACAGAATCATTATCATTCAGCATTTCCCTTCCAATCACTTAATAGCATGAATAACCTAAACTACCATGCTTTAACAGAAGACATTTCCACCATTAGTGAGTCCAGTGAGACCCTGGTGGTCCTGACACGGTTATCCCTTATCTGCCAGATGCATGCCCACTCTATCTGTGCTGTGTGTTTAAGGAGGGCTCCTGGGCTCCTACCACGATTGTCTTGTGTTAGGTGATCCGGCTGTCTGCTGACATCAGATCCTTCGGTCTTTGTGTGGGGCTGCCTTTCATCTGAGGCCACTGTAAACACACACAATGAGAGCTAAGACAGAAAGAAGCGTGCACCGGAGCAGGCGGCTGACAACCTGCAGCACAAAGCGGAAAAAAGACACCTTCACAGCCGCGGCACGAGGCATGACTGATAAAGACACAATGTGGATTTCCATGCAAACTTTCTCTTTTTCCTCTACCATAAATCATGTGCATAATGTTTGTTAATGAATATGCATTAAACATTTAGGGCTGGGAAAATTAGCGAGCTAATCTATCAAGTAATTTTTTCTTATTATTCGCATTAAAATAAATTGACGGGTCGATTAATTTCACCCCGTATCCCTCCTACCGTGGGGTGTTTATGTGCCATAGATAGATATTTCAGGTAACGATGATACAGATTAACACAGAAAGTAGATGGAAAATAAATAGTCAAATCTAATCCAGACATATGACTCAGCACATTTTAAGACACCGTTTATTTTTGTATGCAATTTGTTATTTGTTCATTATAAATTTTACATAATTGTTGTTAGTATTTGTTTTTTTCTGATTCTCGTTTTTTTTTAAATGTAGTATGAACTAGATTGTCAAAAGAACAAAAGGTAAGGAGTGCTGTGTGGTGAATTAGATTGTATTAATGGCAGGTGGTGCAGTGGTTAGCCCTTGTGCGTCACAGCAGGAAAGTCCCGGGTTCAAATCCACCTCCTTTTTGGCTTCTTGTGTGGATTTTGCACTTTTTCCCCATGTCTTCATAGGTTTCCTCCTGGTGCTCCAGTTTCAGTTTCCCCTACCAGTAAAAACATGTACAATAGATCTCCTTCAAACCAACTCCCTGACCCCTCTGCCACCGCTTCTTTCTGGAGCTAGGCCAAGAAATTCTCAAAATCTCAGTGGGATTTTCCTGGTTACATAAAGGTCAATAATATTTGTATATTTGAAAATGTTATATTCAAAACCTAGTAATTAAAAAGATGAACGAAACCATAGCTAATTCTAGGATATTAACAAGTTCCAATGACCCGTGCTGGTCCCACTAGAATGCCGATGTAATTAAAATCAATACGTGCTTTCACACTTGCCTCACAGCGCCGTGGTGTGGGTCCAGGGAGTCTATTTTTTTCCCAGACTCTGCAGGAGCAGTTTTCAGGTAATTAGAGAAGTTCTTCTCTGTGATATCGCTTGAACCCACATGAACCTATGTTGTGCCGGACAAACACACTGCGGCTAGTGACAGGCAAACAAACCACTCAACATACTCACTCACGCCAAAGGTCTTAAATGCGGCTCTCACTAATCCCATTGTTAAGAAAGCTTGTTATGGTATCTTTTTCTCTGTGCAACTCAAAAGACTGTTTTGTTTAACTTTTATTCCTGCACCAGAGAAAGTCTGCTTGTTGTTGGCTTATGTGCGTCGCAGTGATTCATTCAGAGGACAATTGCAGTCTTCCTGTAGCCCTCAGTCCTGCTCCTGCCCCCTAGCTGTAATCTACAGTGTGTGCATGGCTTTTGACAGCTGCAGCAGCGCTTAAGTGTGATATTTCTGCAATAGCACTTGAGCAGTCATGAGTTCAGGTGGTTAGTAACGTGTCCAAAGTGTGTGGTGAGAGATTTTAAAGCATTAAAACCTATAGCTGCAACTTCATAGATTTTGCTTTTTGGTGATTACTGAGGGACCACTGACTATAAAAACTGTAGTTGAGCTTTTATTTTTGTGGATTGTTCTGTATTTCTTATTGCACGCTGTCTTCACCTTGAATATATTACCAATCCCTTGATAAACATTGACACAGGCAAGGTGTGAGAATTGTCACAACAACATTTGCAATGGGCCAGAGAAAGGATGCACCATTAACATCAGCTTTGTCATTCCCGTTCGCCTTTAAGCCATCCTGCACCACCTCATGCACCACCTCAATGTCACCTTTTGACAGTCTCCTCGTCAGATCGACTCTCCACGCACTCCGTCTACTGCTAATGCTCTGTTGCTTTACGGCGTCTTGTCACATCTAATTACAATTTGGCTCAATCAATCACTACTGACACTAAATAACTTAGGAGCGTTGGTTTCTTGCTTCTCTAATAGCCTGCAGCTCCTCGGTACATCAGTGCCTCAGAAACAGTCAGTGAACTTCGTGGATATAAATACTTTAAAAACCAAAGGCAAGCAAAATGTTTTCATATCATGGCTTAGACCTAGTTACTACAGATATACTGCAATTGTGATGATTTATATAGAATTGTCCATTTAAACTATAGCTATCAAAATAAATCAAGATCCAATTAATATTTTTATAAATAATCTTTAAAATAATATTAGTTTTATCATAATAAAATATAAATAATATTTGAGATGTTTTTAAATATTTTGATCTAAAACAGATTTTAAAAAAGAGGGTTTAGTGACTAGTGGACACATCTTCTCTTGTTTGGTGGTTTTACATCCACAAATAAGTGTTTTAACCAGACCGACAGGAGTAAATGCACCCTATGTGTTAATAAATTATCAGTCCAGTCCCATTTGTATGCGTACAATGATCATAAAACAATTGGACATCTTTAAGCAGACCCCTGAACCCACTGCTTTACCTTGAACGTGGTCTTGTTCAGTGTCTGGCTCCGGCTCCGGCTCCAGCTCCAGCTCTCTCACAGCGGTGGAGGCCGTGGGTGGAGGAGGAGTGATGGTGGGCAGGATGGACACAATGGGGGTGAGGGTGGGGGGAATCTCCTCGGGTCTGAAGCCGCGGCGGACCAGCTGAAGGTGCACTGTCTGCCCTGTGTGCCGGAGCACTTCCACTGCCTGCTGATTGGTGTACCCCTGGATGTTTACACCGTCCACCTGCAGGGGGCAACATCACATGAAGCCATTAAAACAAGAAGCGGAGAGGGAATTGTGGATAACAGACCGTAGACTGTATATAGATGGATAATGCTAACCCTCTAGCTCAGGGGTGTCCAAAATATTTAGTAGGAGGGCCACTTTAGTTCACCAGACTTTAGTTCACCAGACTTTAGTTCACCAGACTTTAGTTCACCAGACTTTAGTTCACCAGACTTTAGTTCACCAGACTTTAGTTCACCAGACTTTAGTTCACCAGACTTTAGTTCACCAGACTTTAGTTCACCAGACTTTAGTTCACCAGACTTTAGTTTACCAGACTTTAGTTCACCAGACTTTAGTTCACCAGACTTTAGTTTACCAGACTTTAGTTCACCAGACTTTAGTTTACCAGACTTTAGTTCACCAGACTTTAGTTTACCAGACTTTAGTTTACCAGACTTTAGTTCACCAGACTTTAGTTCACCAGACTTTAGTTTACCAGACTTTAGTTCACCAGACTTTAGTTCACCAGACTTTAGTTTACCAGACTTTAGTTCACCAGACTTTAGTTCACCAGACTTTAGTTCACCAGACTTTAGTTCACCAGACTTTAGTTCACCAGACTTTAGTTCACCAGACTTTAGTTCACCAGACTTTAGTTCACCAGACTTTAGTTCACCAGACTTTAGTTCACCAGACTTTAGTTCACCAGACTTTAGTTCACCAGACTTTAGTTCACCAGACTTTAGTTCACCAGACTTTAGTTCACCAGACTTGTCCAGGGACAGACAACATTTTCTGCTTTTCACGCTTTGAGCTTTAAAATTGGATGATATATTTATTAACACCGCATCTACACTGGTGGGCGACAGAACCTCAGTTGGTAGAGCATTGGCCTTTGTGCCTGAAGATCGTGGGTTCGAGTCCGCCACGGAACCTATTACAACTGCTCCCACTAATGTCTGCTGTCGTTGTGTACTTGGGCAAGACACTTAACCCCACATTGCCTGAAGCCCCCGCTGAAAGACCAAGGCTGTGGGACCATTTCACGTAGCAGCCATCTTCTTGTGGACTCACTACCTGCAGAGGATCAGCGAGGGACTGGTGCTATGAGCATTGGGTGGCAGCTCTGATTGTCACCCCCCCGACCCAGAAATTGACTAATAAAGGGGTGGGGAATGAATGAATGAATCTACACTGGTGCCATTTTGGGACACAATTGAAAACAAATGACAGTATATACAAATAAGGTGAATGGCTGAATTCAACGAAGTGCAGCTTGATGACTCTGTGAAAGTGCCTAAATGGAAAGTTTTGTATTAGCAAGGCAGAGGGCCACATGTAATGAAACAGTGGGCTGCATTTGGCCCGCGGACCTTGGTTTGGACATGTCTGCCCTAACTCAATGAAGCCCAATAGGTTACTTTTCGCACAAGGAAAGTACTCATGAATGAAGTTTGGCTCCAACTTACTCTAGCTCTATTCACTTACGTTGTATATTGACGAGCACGTGGCAAATCCTCCAGCAGAAAAGTTTCATAATACACGCGTAATTGAATAATTGAATGGAACCAACATAATAATTATAGCCATTATAATTTCTATAATTGTCTGCATTCATATTTAATAATCCAGAACAAAACAAAATGGTGTATATCACATCTCAATGATGCGACAAATAGCCCAGTTTAGCATTGTCTAATGAAAGACAATATAATTGAGTAGTATGTTAATTCCAGACACATTAATACCCACACAGTCAATGTTGAATTATTAAAGTTATCTCTTTTTATATTTCTCTACTGAATGAATAATATGGTGATTGCCTGGATAATATAAACCCGCTAATTTTACCTCAAAGCCAAAATGATCATAATGAAGGTACTTACGGCTATAATCTGGTCTCCCACGTGAATTTGTCCATCTTGTTCTACCGCGCTGTCTTTGGTTATGCTCTTGACGAAAATACCAGATGGCTCTATAAAGTAAATATATTGCGGGAGTTATGGGAAAATTAGTATGCCAACATTTGGTTCTTGCTTTTGCCCATGCAAAAAAAACATATATTTCATTCCAGATGAACATCCATATTGGAAACATTCGCTGAAATATAAATACCTGCATTTTTATCACCAACATAGCCGGCGATAGTTATGCCAAGTCCTTGGGCGTTTTTTGTAAGGCTCACATCAAACGCATCTGTCTCGTCTTCCTCATACCCCTGTGGAGAAAACAAATATATTACCGTAATTAGTCATGAGAAAAATAATAAAATGCTAATGATGTAATATATATTTAATTGCCATTGTCAGAAAAAAAGAAAATGGAAGAAACATAGCATTTCATAGTTAAACCCAATTAAAACTATGGGGTAGTAGTACTTTCTACTCCTTACATTTTAAAATGACTACATGTAATAAAATCAGGTTTGAAAAAGTTAGCCATGCTTCTAAAAAAAAAAAAAAATAGTGTTTGAATTCCAATCACGTGTCAAGTTCTACATGTTTTGTTTATTGTCATATTCTCTGCCAGTATGACACATTTCTACAGTAATGCAATGTTGTTTACGTGTTTCAAAGCTTAAAAAGTCTCAAATTTATATACGTATAGCCTTTATATTTTTCAACAATGTTTGTGCTTTTTCCTTTTTGACTAACTGTAAAATGCTGAAACCTTGTAATACGTGTAATAAGTGTAATTGAAGTTCTATACTGATCAGTCTGGTACCTGTTGCTCGTTGACAGTGGGTAGCACTACGGGCATGACCGCTGAAGGGCTCTCCTCCACCGGGCCCCTGGTTACCACCAGCTTCACCCTGTTCCCACACTGCCTGAGGACCTGGGCCACCTGCTCACTGCCCATGCCAAACAAGTCTGTGTCTCCAATCCGCAGAATGTGATCCCCGCTGCGCAGACGCCCATCCTGTCAGGTCAGCAAAGAGAAACAGTTTCAGGTCAGTGTTGACACGACTATAACACGTGTGCTTGAACGGTTACACACCCAGGTAGATATGTAAGGGTTGTTTGTGTATCTTTCTTTCTTTGTTTCTTTCCGTCATTGAGAGTGTTTGTGCAAAGTTACAAATGACCGTGTTTTCTATTTTCAAATGAGAATTTAAATATGTTTTATTTGTATTGTTGAATGTGTTTCTGTGTGACATGACTGAGCTTATAAACCGGAAGTAGCAAGCAGTCGGTATGGCGGGGGCAAGGCATAGATAGACTGTAAATAAACAGGGAGGGTGATTTGCTGCAGTTAGGTTATGAGCATGCATTTGAACAATATTCCACAAAATTTGATTATTTTGACTTGCACGGTCAAAAGATTGTTGATGAGAAGGAGGATGTTGGGCCATTAGTACAACTATAAAGCAGCCTTTTCCCACTCAAATGTGAATCAGGCAGAGCTGGCCTCATACAATCTGTTCAAAACCATCTGAAATTATGGTTCATCACAAAACAGACATGTCAAGATTAACTTTTAACTGTTTGTATATGGTAAAAGTACAGTTATTTTATTACTGATATTTTGTAGTGTTTGTATATGTGTGTTTGCTTTTAGGGACAACGGATGAAAAAGAGCCTTGTGGATATTTCTGGTACATTTACAGTAATGTTCATTAAGGTACACTATCCCTGTCAAATAAACCTAAACATAAATAAAAACCCCTGCACCAGTATCAGCACAAACAATCATAAAGCGACTCACAAGGCCCAGTATTCAATAGTTTGTTTTGGGTAGACTCTGCCAATATGACTGGAAGACAGGTTATGAACTGGATGCAAAAGTACAAAAAGAAGAATCGGTATAATCCGTATAAACTGTTTTTACTATAATTTTTCAAGTCAAAAACTTCAGAACAGAATTAAATGACACAATTTTGCTTTTTATGCAAAAGAAAAACAATGCCATTTTGTTTGTATACAAAAACATGATCTTACCTGATCAGCGATGCCTCCAGGAAGAATGGTTTTAACAATAACACCGCTGGTCTTTCCTCCCACTATGCCGAAGCCCAGACCGGTCCCATCATTGACCAGCTCAATGGTCTCGACATGCTGCAGCTGGGATCCGACAGAGACCAAGAGGCTAATTAGTTGTGTCACATAATGCTTTTGAAAAGAAAAAAACAGACTAAAGCCCAGCTGTGTCAGCACATCTACTTGGACATACTGTACATCCTTTTATTAAAGTCAGCTATTTAAGTGGCTATTTATGCCTTTGAGCTATAATCTATACATGTTCATAAACCAAGGTGACAGGAGGAACAAGTGCACTGCTGGCACTTTTTGTTCTGGTTAAACTTTTATCCAATGGTACATTTTATTGTGTGCAACACACAACGTTTTTATGGGGCGCTGAGACCTATTTCGTTTTCCTATAGCTTTTTGTTTTGTTTAGGAAACTTAAAATAAACTATTGAGGCTACATTAAAACATTGGACTGAGGTCCTCTGAACTCACATTTCAACTCAAATGTGGACGTGACATATGCTCTAAACATTATTATGGAACTGACCCAAACTACTCTCAAACATGAAGACAGTTTTGAACAGTAAATGCAACAGTACGTCGCCATTATAATCCCTATCTTACCGCGCTTGACTTGACGGACAGTGTGCTGGCGGTGGAGGGTGTGCGGGACACCCCAGGACTGGTCAGTCTGGGGATGGGACCTCTGGCCACAATGAGATGCACCTGCTCTGATGCACTCTGCAGGATCCCGATGGCCTGCTGGTGCGTCACGGACTGGTCCAGAGGCTGACCGTTGATGGCTAAAATCTGGTCTGCTTCTCTCAGCTTTCCATCACTAATTCAGAGAAAAGTCACAATTAAATAAAATGTCCAAATTATGTGCACTCGCCTTCCATGACTGCTATCTTGTATATTTACAACATGTATTATTACACCATATATATTACTTTTTTTTTTTTTTCCTATCAAGCTGCAAATAAAAAATAAATAATATATTATATATATAAAAATTAAAATGTAGCTTCCTACCAGTGGGCCACGCTTCCTGACTGAATCTCCTGGATGAAGATGCCCAGCTCGCCTCTGTTCTCGCTCTTCAGGCCGACCACGCTGAAGCCGAGGCCTCCCGACACAGGCTTCTGCAGCTCTGCATGCACGATGTAGCGACCCTGCACCAGGCACATACATTACATACATGTTCTTTGGCCCTTTGCTTTCACAGCATCACATCAAAGCTACCGCAAAGCCTTAGAAGCCTATTTGAAGAGCCTGGAAGGAGAAACGTTGAGTGCTCTGATAAGTTCTCTCAGTATATTCTGAGGTGAACTATGTAACTTTTGGGCGAAGGGTCCCTTTGCACCTGATTCTTTTGATATTTTTTGCATGTTTCATTAAATTGCTTCCCTTTTGCTAGAAGACATACAGCAGGCACCTTCGCCAGTTGATGATGGAACCAAACTGTTTTGAGAGCTCCGACAACATTTTAAAAGTTCATTTATTTTTGTAATTCAATTTTTAATGTGAGAGCAATGACATAGACTCGTTACATGTAAAGTGACAAGTACCAAGCCTTTGTTATCATTTTGATGGTTATGGTTTGCAGTCCATCCATTTTCTTACACTTCCCTAACCACTAGTTCCAGGGGAATCCCGGGGCATTCCCAGGCCAACTGAGAGACATAGCCCCTCATAGTGGGTCTTCCCTGGGGTCTCCTCCCAGTGGGACATGCCTGGAACATCACCCCAGCGAGGCGACCTTAAGGCATCAGAAAAAGCTTGTATCCGCAATCTTGACCTTTCAGTCATTACCCAAGGTTTGTGAGGGAGGGAACGTAGATTGACTGATAAAAATATTCTACATTTATTTAACATTTTATTTTGAATTTTAAGTTCAATTAGAGAACTAAATGGACTTTTCAACAGAATTCTAATTTTCCAAGTATAACAACTAATTACATGGATTTTCTTCACATAATTGTCGCTGTTGTTTTTAAGTTAGGCACTCCACACTATCAAGCAATAAACGCTAAACAAGCTGCATTCTAATTCCTTTAACCTGTGCCATGGCGTGCATGATGTGTTCAAATTCTTCTGAAGCTCTGCCATTGATGTTAGAGGAGAGATCTGGGACAGAAAAGTGTCCTCCGTTGGGTTTGACGGCAGCCACAAAATCCTCCGCTCGCGTCGAAGTGGCATTTTCCTGCAGATAGAAAAAGAGAATGAGATGTGATAGATAATGAATCAATCACTCTTTAAACTAGATATATGATACAAGATCGACTTTTTCTCTATTTTCTCTATTTTATAACATTGTTCCCTCATAAAAATCAGACCTTGAGTTGCTTCGGTCTAAGAGCTCCTCAGTCCTTGCACCACTGTGACATAACAATCTGAGCAGTTTTCTGTCTTTTAAAACAAAAGTAGTGCCCATAAATTTAGTTTAGGAAATATCTCAGTTGAAATTACTTTCTTTACAATCACATAACTGCTCCTCTGGTGGTAGCATAGGGTATTACATGCAGAAAGCATTTTTGACCATTCATACTTAAGCTAGTATTTCACATTCTACAACATGACATGACAAAGTCTAGTCACATCGTATGTTTTCACGGCCAACTTTAACGCGTAACATTTATATTATAGTCATGATCGTACACCACTATTGCCTGGATTGGATTGTGCAAAACCGCATTGAAATCCATCAGTACACAAAGCACTAAGTTTTCCCACTTAAATCAGTTAAAAGTACCAACTAATTCAGTCTATAGTGTTGGAGCGACTACTGGGAAGTGTGTTATCCCACCATGATTAGCTGGATCGATAGCAGCCTAATCCTTCAGAGATAATGACTCTTATCTGATGTTCCAACTACCTACAATAACGGGGCTCGAAATACAATATTTCTACCACAGTGGAGGGAAAGCATCACTGGCCTGGATGCTCGAATTTACTCTGGCTTTAATTAGCGCGCGGTATTTAGTTATGTGGCAGATGAATTACATGTATTGGGAAAGTAGTAAACATAAAACATTTTTCTGACTTCATTAGCCGGAGGGTGTGATGTTTATGCTGTCCCGAATTGGATTCAAAAAGGACAAGGATAATGCCCTGCTATAAACACTCGATATGGCATATGGCATTGCTGAAGCTGTCCTTGTGAACTTGCATTGGAAAGTTGACTATGACTTGAATTAATATCACAATCAAATTAAAATGTTGGATTGAGTCCATATGTCACAATAACAGTCTTGTATTCATGGATACAGATGTGAAGAGCGGCACGGTGGCTGAGTGGATAGCACTCTCGCCTCTCAGCAAGAAGGTCCTGGGTTCGAATCCCGGTCGGACCAGGGCCTTTCTGAGTGGAGTTTGCATGTTCTCCCCGTGTCTGCGTAGGTTTCCTCCGGGTTTCCCCTACCACTAAAAATATGTCCAATAGTTTTTGGTCCTCGTTCTGTAGCTTAGGTCCTGCATCATTAGCCCGTCCGTCCCTGTGGAAGGGGATTCCTCTCTCAATATCTCCCTGAGGTTTTCTCACTTTTCTCCCCCTCGGTTTTAGAGATTTTCCTTGCCGATGCAGGAGGGTCTGTTTGACAGTTAGTGTCTAAAGCCACGGGATTAGTTTTACATAAGGACCCCTGATAATTTGTGATAATCACGGAGGACGTCTGAGATGTTAGCCCAGTGCGAATGCGCCATGTCTGTAATTTGTAAAGTAATAATTCCGCCGCAAATTACCTCCTGTATTTTTCCAAACACAGACGTCCTCTGATAATACTAATCCCGTGCTAATGTTAGGATTTAAGCAGACAGAGACGGATCGTGGTGTGCCAAACTCTGGAAGTTTATTTAAGTTTCTCTCCAGTTCCACTGTTTTACTCTGTTTCTTTCCTCAGACAGAATAAAGGCAGTACACAGTTTATATAGTCATTGTCACGTCACACATCGAAAGACATACGTGTCACAAAGAGACAGTCAAATCATAGTCATAACATGGAGTCCTTGTAGAGTCCTTGTACAGTCCTGCACGTAGGCCATATTGCTATCTAATACTAACACCCTCCCCTTTGATCACACACATCTGCATGTCAGTGATTTTGATCGCTCTTGCTGCTTTCTCTTTACTTTCTGCGTTGTTTTTGTCAATGAGCAGAGGGGTCGCGTATCTCTGTGAGGTCTATGGACAAGTGTAGAGGACAGTGTAATGTGTTCACGGACACTAAATGATCAGACTGATGGGTTGTGTTTGTACGTTTACTTTGCACTCTGTCCTAATACAGCGTACGTTAGCAGAGTATGTGGGAAGTTCACGGGTAGTCCATACAAAAAGTATTATTTAAACATTACAGAAAGTACAGGCCAGAGAATTGTAGAGCAATAAAATCCACATGTATGTGTTTGTCCTCATGGTCTCTGTGGCTGCTGTGGTCAGACACCAGTCTTTATGAACTACGTGAAGCGGAGAGACCCGCGTGCGGCCGTTATGTGAGACGTCAGTGAAAATTACAGACATTGCTTATCCCGTGTAAGATCTCAGACGTCCTCCGTGATTATCACAAATTACCAGGGGTCCCCGTGTAAAACTAATCCCGTCCGAATAGGGCTTAACGAGGAGGACTGTGGTGATGATCCAGGACACTTTATCATTCATTCATTTATCAACATTCATGGACATGGGTCTCACTATATGAACCAATACATATGTGTTTTTCTTTGTGTCTTAACTGTTGATTCTCTGATCTGTGTTGGTGATTTCAATGGTTTTGTTAAGTCCTCTGAGATGACTGCTGTTGTGTTTTAGGGATATACAAAGAATAAATTATATTGTATTGGATTGTATTGTATGCTCTGCTTGGTCAGGACAACTAAAGTAGAGTTTGAGGATTTTTTACCTTTTTTACATTTTTTTAGTGGTAGGGGAAACCAGAGCACCTGGAGGAAACCTATGCAGACACAGGAAGAACATGCAAACTCCACTCAGAAATGCCCTGTTCCAACCAGGATTTGAGCCTAGCTACAAGCTTATTAAGACATACATGTATCTATTGCAAATGGATGAGAGATCAAAGCGTATTAAACATTCATTTTTAAATAAACTTAACTCACACTGCACACAATAAATAGCAAGTAATAGCTGGGCCGACATATTTTTAATGAGGACTAGTTTTTCCCAACCACAATATTCAGGAAAGAGAAATATTTATCATGTTTAAGTATTCATTTTTGGTGAGTATGGGTTGTTGAAACTGGTTTAAGAATGTCATGTTTGATGCTTTTGACATGATCTACATTGTAAACAATATCAGGATCCTGGACACTCTAAATTACACATATAATTGTAATTCGGGCGTTCTGCTCTCCCAAAATTCCATCCGATGGGCGGGGGAGCGACTGAATTTTGCGTTGCATTATGGGTAACACTTGCCTTCGCAACTTCCGGTTCTCTCTGCCCGGCGCATTTTCTCTAAATGGTTGAGTGTTTTCGTCATTTTCTGTATGCAAATACATTCCCGTCTCTAACTAGTGGCATATCGCGCAAATCATCCGTCCAATTCACATTCTTCCCTCTTAGCTGAACTTCATTCTCATTGTTACCATCTGTCACTCGCACACACAGCCGTTTTCGTTCACTCTGCTCGCTGTCATCTTCTTCTAAATCTTCATAAACACCATCCGCTCGTTGAACTAGCAACAACAATTCCTCCTTTCGTTTTCCCACACTGCAAATACCCTTTCGCTTCAACCTTTCACGCAATTCAGGCACTGTCAATCGTTTGTTGTTTTCGTGAGCCATATTCGCCATTGTATGAAATCAACCGGAAGTGAACTGGGCAACAAACGGTGTCATTTTTTGATCACAGCGCCGCTCAGTGGATGAAATTTTGGGAGAGCAGAACGCCCGAATTACCAATTTGTCACCATTCAATCATTTGTCCACCTGATCGATTTTTCAACCTCTAAAAAGAGAGATGCATATTCGCCATGATCCCCACCGCTTCACTTGACAGGCCACTTAAGCGCTGCACGCCACAAACAAACCCCTGCGGACGTGGCTAAGTTAGCGTAGCATGCTGCTAAGTTGCCGTCCACTTGCATGAGCTTTGTTAGCCGGGCCTGGCTAAGCGGATTAAAGTTCCAGTTTGCTTCTTGCACATTTGAGGAATTGTTTCTGCCCCACTTCACAGCGTCGGGCGGCCTTTTTCCCGTTGGAGGAGGGTATGCCTGGTTGCCATGGTGACGCAGTCTAGACAAGGCCTAACGAGCAGAACCGCATGGGCGCAGTGTTTGTTTCTGGATGTGGTCTTGTAATCAACATTTCAACTCTCTCAAATACGGTATCAACAGTAGTCAATGTAAAAATGCAAGTTTTACTTTAAGTGCATATGAGACAATGGCCATGGTACTTCCTGGTTGCATAGACTGAAAATGTAATACAGTATAAAAGGAACCAAAAAGTAACAAAAGGCCAAAACTAATCAAAAGTAGACTTGTGAGACAATAACTAAAACATAATAGATAATAGAAAAATAAATCACTTAAACTTTCCGATATAGTATTGATAATGAAGGGGGAGGGAATAATCTATCCATAAGTCACAAACTGTCACTTGCCTGATGTAAAAGTAATCAAATAAATATTTTGCATGAATGCCTTCCCATTAAAGCCGGCGCACTAAACTTCCCAATAAAATAGTTTCTAGCTTTCGTTGTCATTTGCATGTATTTACTTTCTATCATCTTTTTTACACAGACAAAATCAGCTCTCACTCCAAAGAGTCAAATGTGACCAGGGCTCTTTCTACAAGTACATGTTTTAAAAGATAAGAGGCTAAGTGTTGTGGTCTCACGTTGTGGTCCAATAAGTTCACCTTCTGTTCGGCCAATCAAAAATAGTTAGATAACCCAGCTTTACACAAAGTAGTAATATCTATCGGGAAAAATAAGTTGCCAAATGGGCCTTTCTATTATGTATGTTCAGGTTGTATATATACTTGTTATACCATTTCAAATGCTTTTTACATTGGCGCTTGTTAACAGGAAAACTACTAAAAATTCTATCCTCAAAGGTAGAAGGAAACAAGAATAGAATTTGCCCCGACTAGACCTATACAGTATCTAATGTCTTCAAATGCGGCCGTTCTGATCTGGAAGGAAAATTGTGCGAGTTTGATTACTGTGACTTAAGGCTACTTCAGTTTAAAAATCATGTTTTTGTTACAGCTGCATAAATATAATGTCATTAAGTTCAATAAGAGCTCTCAAGTGCTGGATTGGTCAACATTAAATCTGTGCTAATACAAAAGAGAAATACTTCCTTTTCCAAAACAAACATTGCTTTAAAATGCACCTCTTTGAAACGTGATGAATCGCTTGCACGCAGAAAAATATGCTCCTTTTTTATAATCTAAATTCCACCAGGGGTAAAGAAAGAGCCTTGGCATCCCGGCCTCCCTCGACATACTTCGCATAGTTTCTTTGCAATTTCTCAAATACACCCTGGCTCCGTTCTACTGCGACTCAAGAACACTTTTCTCCCACTCAAATGTTGGAGTCTCAATGGGCCCAAAAGAGGAGAAAGTGACGTAGAGCAAGTATCTGCACTCACAGGATCATTTTATAGAGGGATATTATGGGCCGTGACAGGGATTTACCTTGGAAGAAAAACTACAAAGTATTGATAAAAATGTTGTGTGTAAATATAGCAAACACAGAAGGAGATGTATGAAACAACTTTACATAAATGTTGGTTAAAAATGACGTAAAAGGTGCCATTTTTTTTCTGTATTTTTGTCAGAACATTTTGATAATTCTTAAAACAATACACTCCTTGCGATAATAGACATTTTTGTTGATATTGCGCAACACTAGCTACACACATTCATGTTTTTTCCCTTACAGCAATGAGTATTTTTGCAAAGAATTAATTAAAACCTGCATCCTTCACCTACCACTTTAATTTGATTGAAAAAGAGGCATGTAAATAAGTACACTGAGATAGATGTGTGAAAAACTAGTTTGTTTGGAATACCTGGAGCAAACCTCTTCGACTGTGATTGATCTTTAATGCAACCACATACAGTTGACCAGATCCTTTCGAGACATGGCCGCCAGAAGCATTTAAGAGCGCAGGGAAAGGCCATGCTTTTATTAGAACGATAGACTCCACATTTGGATCGTTGTTTTGTTGTTTTGTTATGCAGAGAAAAGTACAGAAATCATGATGTGCACTGCAGAAAAGTAATGGCTTGTGCTGCACCAGGTGAGTATGTGCGAAACTCAGAAGCCCAACACAAACTGTTTATACTGTATGTAACGTATGTATGTAACAATAATAATGATAATAGTGTAATACTACATTTTATTTATATTGTAAGAAAACCTCAAAGTTACCAAGATGGAGTAATTATAACTGAATATGAGTATTGGCAAAATTCTCCAGTCAAAAGACATTGTTTAGACCTGCATGTGCTTTCAATCACTAAGCACACCCATTATATATATTTAACCACACAATTTCTACTAAAATGATTTCAGATTCAAAACCGTGGAATGCAAAAGTATCTATTATACAACATTAACACAAATAAAGCATCATATTTGTTCTTTACTAATACGTTACGCTTGGGATTTATATTTTTTCGCTCTAATTGATCCCTCTGCGTAAAAAAATAATCGTCAAAATTGCATCAACACAAACAAACAAATAATGCATTCTTTCTGCCTGCAGGGTTCCCATTGCAATCTGAAATTCTCTTCGTGGCTCAGAACAGCCTCCCCTCTGCAGCTCCGCGGCACTTCTCCGGCAGGCTGTCAGTTTATGTTTTTTCTTCAGCAGAAGGTGCAAAATCTCCATGAGCTCAGGGCATCTTCAAAGTCTTTTTAAGATGTTTTCGGTCTATACCACTGCACTTAAAGAATAGACGAGCCTTGTCTCCTGGCTTTCTCCAGCTTTTAAATCAATAGCTCATTATTGATTTCTCTAAGTAACTTTGCTCTGCGCTAAGGCCTAACTGAATGCAAATGACTGCACTTGTACGTAAGTCGGAGAAGGCCATAGTTGAACTTCAAAACATAAATATCCCAAATGTTCAGTTCAAAGCTCTCAACCTTTTTCACCCAGCGAGACTTGATACAAATCTATGTTTCAGTGTGCAAAAAAAAAGTATCAATAATAAATAATAACTAATGAATCATCTTTTCTAATAAAATGCTCTTTTTAATCATTCAAAGCAGACCCTATGTTTCACTATACATAGCTGGGTTACCTAATTCAAGGAAGATTTTGGAAAAATTAATTTGCAAAAACAGATAAGTGTCATTTGCTTTTATTTTCACCAAACAGTTTTGTGAAAAAGACGCATATTTTTTAATGCAATACAAATACAGTTTCACCCCTTCTTGAGCAAAAACTCAAACGTTTTAAATAGATCCCCTGTCTTTGGGGCCCTATTTCTAGTTACATTGGATATTGTAACTAGACAAATACAACTTTTTGATGCAAGATATAATTGTTATTGTAAATTAGCTCTGTATTTGTGGACTCAACACAATTATTTGTTTCAAAACAAATAATACTCAAAAATGTATCGATCAAATGAATATATTTGGTCACATTGTTAGATTTGCCGTAAAAGAAATGAAATTGAAACTCTAAGAAAATTGTAATATTTTGAAAATAGAATGTAAGCCATAATCATAAAAATGAAAACAAACAAAGGCTTGGCATGTGTCACGTTGTATGTAATGAGTCTATATCATAGGAGAAAAACGTTGCAACATGTTATTAATATTCCAGTGACTGCTCATTGCAACACTTCCCACTGTGAGACAAAAGAAAGGTTCTTTTCTGTTATCTTATCTATTTCATTATCTAACTACACCCATTGAGGCCATTTTAATAAGCTTTTTATGAAAAAACATACAGTATATCAAGTGTTGTAAACATATCTGACCTGTTCTTTGAGGTGGTGCACGGTCTTCTGCAGGGCCAGGATCTGGTGGAAGAGGGGGCTCTGGAGCACGGACTTGAGTAGGCTGAGCTTCTCCTCGGTGGGCACCTCCCCCCGCTCTTTGAGTTTGGCCTGTAGACGCTCCACCGCCTGCAAGGCACGCTGGGTATCTGCAAGCCGCCACATATTTCAGTGACAGCGGCCGGCCGAGTGGAGTGGCAGTGGATGCAGCGCAGAGACACAGAGACACAGACAGGAGAGAGGAGAGGGGAGGGAGGGGAGATGATGACATATCAGCGCTTGGGTAAGAAGAAGGAATGCAAATAGGTGCTCTGACAGATATTTTTGACTTGGAACTATTTTTTCAGAAGAGTATAAAAGAGGGCAGTAATATGTTGTCAAAATATCTCACTGTGATACTTCGGGCCAACAATGCGCTTGCGATTGTTGATCTCCCCCTTATGGACCAATGGCTCTATGTGTTTTTTTTGTTTTTTATCATTGCATTTCTTGTGTTCAAAGTGTTTGATTCTCTGATCTGTGTTGGCAAATTCAACCATTTTGTTAAGTCCTCCAAGATAACTAATGTTGTAATTTAGGGCTAGCAAGAATACATTGAATTGACTTGAATATATGTTTAAAAGGTCAAGAGTAAAACTAACAACTTCAACAAATCTGAAAAAGCAAGTACATATAAAGCACTGATTTCAGTTTAATCATGCAGCCCTAGTGTAAAAGATGATACCGAGACAAGCATTGTGTGAAGAAATATTTTGAGAATAATGTGTGGGACATACTGTCGGTTTATTATTTGCCAGTCAACCCAGGGCCCGCTGAGGCTAAAGTCCACCGCCACTCATAACAGTTCTTTCAACATGCAAATATCTTTTCAATGCTCACTGTTGGGACATTACATTGTGAATACAGAGCTTTAGCTGTGGGAATGTATGAAGCCTATGCATTTTATTTCTTTCACACATCTGGTTCTTGCTTCCTTTGCCAGAAAACGGAACGCCCTCTGTATGTAACAATAACCATACTTAATAATAATTATACTTTTAGAGGGCTTTTTTCCAGACACTTAAAAATGCTTCACATGGCATTATTCATTCCCTCCTCCGTACACAGTGATGGTAAACTACTACTGTAGTTTGAGCTGCCCTGGGGCACACTGAATGATTCAAGGCGGCCAATCAGCCCCTCCAACCACCACCAACCATTCACTGACACACCAGACTGGTTTTAGTGGGTGAAGTGTCTTGCCTAAGAACTCAACAACAGTTTGACACTTTACAATTGAAGCAGCACAAACATTAACCAGGCCCTCCTTCCATTTCTATTCTTTTCATATAACAGATAGCACTACATCCCAAAGTCATATACAAATCTATGTTCAAATAAAATGTCCTTCATATTTGAACATGACCTCTGGAAGGGAGCCATAATGTTTGGGGTTTTTCTACTTTATCACATAGTTGCATTAAACCTACGCTGCTTACAATAATTGATGTTATGTTCAAGCTAACATGATATTACAAAACACAACAACAGAAGCAAGTAGTGGGCAATAAGTTACATACTCATTGAAAATCACTGTTATTATTATAAGTGTGGTAACATGTGCAGAGCTGTTTCATTTACTGTTACTGAATCTACACATGTGCAATTGACTGCTGTAAAAAGCAAGATAGCTTTGTGTTTAACATTAAAACGTATGTAAATGGGAGAGAGTAACACGTGCCAGACATTATAACCTCTAGGCTTAGGCAGGGCTGGCTGGCACTCAACAGACCTTACTATATTGAAATCACATAGCTTCAGGATTGTACTAGCGGAAAAAAAAACAACACAAAAATCCTCAATACGTTTTCCGAATAGCAATTGCTGGTGAACCACAGAGGAGCTCAAAATAGGTATCAAGGGGAAGCAAAGATAAAGGAACAGTGGGTCTGCCTGCTGGACCCTGCCTAAGCTGCCCAATCGTAAAACTCAGAGGTGGCTTGTTAGCGAGGATGGGCCAACTCGCCATCATCTGGACAAAAATGAAGCAATTTCCAAAACTCACCAACTGTGACTAACACCTAATAGGGCGTACACAGGGTCCAAAGCGCTTTTTATGTGCTGACAAGTGCCGTTTGGACAAAGGCAGTAAACAAGCCCATAGCCTTAACATAGGGCTTTCTCGACGGGCCATATTCACAGTGTAAGCTGGTCTTATGATTGTGTTAACAGATTCAGGAAAATGCATGACATAAAACAATTTAATCTCATGCTTTGAATGAGAAATATAGGGAAGACATGCTGTGTCTGGAATAAAGCATGCTAACCTATTTGTCAGTATAATAGAATCACAAATGTAACCAGCCAAAATCTTTCTGACATATGTAGCTCCTAAAGCACTGATTACTGAAGTAAACCACCTGCTGGAGTTTAGCTAGAAATGTATGATGTATGACTACTTATTTTTGTACCAATTTCATTTAAATATGTGTGGTGCCATATTTTTGTTGGTGAATATTGGAAAAGAAATAAAGATAAAGAATAAAGAAATCCAAAACTAGCTTAATGTCACCTGACAAACTGGCAACCCGATTGAGAGACTCAGGCTATATCCACACGAAGACAAAACGCTTATAATTTCAGAAACTTTTTCTGTAAACACGGAGTTAGTTCAGTAAATGTGTGCGTCCATATGAATGTAGTCAATACGCCTGAAAACGCTGTGAAACTATGCCAGACCTGTTGGTGGCGCTGTGACGCAATGACGGGATCAAGCCCAAACTTCCGTGACGGGAACTGGGCATGCGCAGAATTTAGTAAACAGACAACATGGCGAGTGGGCGAGCTGGTACTACATTAGTATGGACGGACGATGAGGTTGAACTGTTGCTTCGGGTCACACTGGATTACAAAACCAACAAGCTACATTGTTGTTGTCATTATTTTCTGAGTGCGGCGCATGCGTGCTTTAACAAGAGGCGGGGCGATGACGCAAGCGTCTCAGATACATTGCGGAGAGGCAGTAACCACGGAGCGGCATATACGGAGTTTTGAAATCTTTCCACTCTGGGACCTACTTTCAAAAATGTTCGTTTACACCCCCCCAAAACGCCGGCCTCGTATGGACGATACACTGGATTGATAAAGTATTTTTGCGTTTAGGCCTGAGCTTGACTTCGTGTGGACTAGGGTTGGGCGATATGGGCCTCAGCATGTATCACGATTTTTGTTGGTATGTATCACGATATGACGATATGATAATTTTAACAAAGCCTCATATAAAAGCTATAAAAACTTAGCACTGATAATTTTAAACACACTTGCCTCAAAGTGCATTTACTGATTTATTGGCAGCAAAATGTGTAATACAGCTATTGTATATAAAACGTATTAACAAAACTGAATTGTAGAGAATTCTGTTTTGTACATACTGAAAATTGCAGGCAACATGTAATAAAGGTGAACATTTGTAATTTGTAAAATATATAATATTGTAAAAGTTTGTCCTTTGTAATATAAAAAGTGTAGCATTATCAAATAATTATTTGATCACTTTGGCTTATGTTTCCTAATCCCAATATAGTCAAAATGATCAAATACTGTATATATTTTTTGTATCCTTTTGCGTTTCTATAATTATGTAATTATAACTTATTTGTAATTATATTGCAATGTAGACAAACACATGCATTGAAGTAAAATGAATGACAGTAAACAGTAAATAAAGCTTACCAATGGCACTATGAGAGAGAGAGAGAGAGAGAGAGCGAGTGTCCGAAGCAAACCACTCGAGTCCAGTTGTTGCAGCTGCTTTCACAACATTAGATCCACTGTCGATAGTTAACAATTGCTTCTTTTTATCTAGGCACGGTGGCTGAGTGGATAGCACTCTCGCCTCTCAGCAAGAAGGTCCTGGGTTCGAATCCCGGCCGGACCAGGGACTTTCTGAGTGGAGTTTGCATGTTCTCCCCGTGCCTGCGTAGGTTTCCTCCGGGTACTCCGGTTTCCCCTACCACTAAAAATATGTACAATAGGTTCTGGCATGCGCCTCCTGTACTGGCGACCCCGCTCCCATCTCTGTATGGAGTGAGAGGACAAGTGCCCAAAAAATAACAATTGTAAACCGCTTTGTGACTCTGGTCTGTGAAAGGCGGTATATAAATAAAGCTTACTTACTTACTTACTAGTTCCCAAACTACTCCCATATGTTTGAGGTAGCTCTGCGTTTTGGCCATGTCTTCACCATGGTCTTCACCGCCGCCCTCAGCCATGTTTGCTCTCTGCTCTGTTGTTGTTGTCCCTGCACGCCGCTCTGCTACACGTGTCGCGCAGATGCGTCATCAAAGTGCGCCGCACACAAACGTGTCTTCCGCTCGCTGTTTTCAGTGTTAAATGATTGTTTTCACCGGTATAAGGCATTTTCTTATCATTTAATTTACTTATACCGGTATACCGGTACAAAAAAAATATCGCCCAACCCTAGTGTGGACAGGGCCTCATTCTGCCCCGTTTCGATAGTCTGCTTGAAAATCATAAATATTATAGATATCATGTCTATTGTATTTAAGAATAACTTTATTATTAACTGGGGAGACGTATAACAGATGTAATTTAAAATGATAATATTACATACTGTCTCTTTAATTTACTGAAGACTATGGCTGTCTTTGCTCTGAACCAGTTTAGTCGTTTGTCTGTTAGTCGATTAATCAGTCGGTGATGTCATAGTCGACTAAAGAAATCTATTAGTCAGCCAATTCTTTTATATTAACTCACAAGAATTTCTGTGGTAAATCTGCTTATTTGACTTGGCTTCTAATGTTTTATTTGTGATTTTATTCTTAAAATCACAAACCGCCACACACCCCGTTTAGCCGACAAATCAATAGAAGAGGCATGTCTTTATTCTACCAAGAATGTATTTCGGTTTATTACAGCCCGACTGAACAATTCTGAATTGTACCATTGTGTCCCTTTTGCAGTTTTTATTGCTACTCAGCACTCCTGTCTTGAGTGACTACAGATTGCCGTAACAAACAAAGAGACAAGGAGCTTTCTGGCCATGCGAGCAACCGTCTGGACAAAAACATCTCATGGGGACAAACAAACAATGAAAATATATGGCAACATGATCAGATATGGCAACACTGGCGGCACACAAGCCTTGAGCCACGTCCAGCGCCTCT